CAATTTGTTTCTTATCTTTTATGCATTTTTCAAGTAACTCAACGTTTAAAATGATTTCAAACATCTTACATTGATAAGCAATAGCATTATGTAAGAACTTTAACATTTTTACCTATATGATAAAAAAATAATTATTGAAATTTATATGAACTAAAAACAGAATTGTATATATACGTACAATATTATTAGAATGTAGTCTATGTAATTTTAAATAAGATATCATTTCTTTTCGTGCTCTTTTGTCATTGTCAAAACCCATTGAGAGGCTGAAGGAGACAAATCGTTTCTGAACAAAGTAATTAATACATGATTCAATATTTGGGATAGTATGTTTTTCTTTTACTTACTTCTGCAAGTGTCCCAAGAATAGTAAGAGACAATGTGTTTAATTTGTTATGAAAAACAGTCAAGCGATATGATAACAAAACTGCGAGCCTTCTTTCAGGATCAAATAATGCAGTATTTGTTCCTTGCTTAACTGTAGACTGAAATGTTAAAAATAAACATATAATTACATATAAATTAAATACAATTTAAAAGCTTACAAGTGACTTGATATCGATGATATAATTTAATAAGGACAATGCAAATATTAAACATTGTATATTTCTTTTTCCAATTCCACTTGTCCAACTGTGATAACTATGCATTATTTTAATAAAATCCTTTTCTCCTAAAATTAAAAAAAAAACATAAATTTAATTTAGAATATTTTTTATCTTGGTTTAGAATAATATTATTGAACAAATATAATTTTACCTATAGAGGCTATGTTTAAAATCATTAATGAAGCAATTGATGTTGGACTATAAGGCAAACATAAATCCAATACTTTTTTAATAACCATAATTGAATTTTCACTATCAGGTTCTGGTTCCAACATGGAAACAACGTAGATTAAGCGCATACAAGCCCAACCTAAATCCATTTTTTCTTTGGAGCCTATAAAAAAATCTGATACAGCTAACAAAGGCATTATAGTCTTGAACACAAACATTACACCAGCTGTTGCACACTGACATGTTAGTATATGCCTGACCTGTAATTAATTGATTAAAAATGAAACAATTTTATCTAACTAAATACAAAGTTTTTTTTAATGACATACTTTCAAAGAAGCCTCAACTAATTTGACATATTGTGTTAAGACTGGATAAACTTCAGATCCATATTTAAGAATCATTAATGCAATAGAATTTTGAGAGAAAGGGTGTAAATTTACGGCAGAATCTTCAATACCGCTCATTAAAAAAGGGAAAAAATTATTGGCATTAAAGTAACACATTGTTTGTTCAGGGAAGTAAACAAGTATACATCTTGCTAATTTTAATATTTCAGACACAACTTCTGGATCAGCCGCATAATTTGAATCAATATATGATACACTAAAATAAATATGAATCAAATATAAAACATGCATATGTATTACATTAATTTTAGAAGATTATACCTTGGTACTAGCGTCAACAGAGTTTCACACGTTCCCATAATATCATCATTTAAAGATGTTGCAACATATGCAATAGATTGAATAATTTTAACAGAATTTATAAGTATTTTTTTTGTACTAATATAAGAAGAAGTCTTACGATCCTCATCACGACACTAAAAAAAAAAAATAATAAATCCAAATTCTAAAATAATAATAATGTTAATTAAATCTATATACCATCCTGAAGTTATTAATTGCAGAGTTCAAAAAATAGAATAAGGGCACTTTGATGTTGAAGCGGACCATGTCTCCATTAAGAATAAATCTAGTGTTTTTAGGAATTTCAATGCTATATATTGAGTCATTTACATAATATTGATCAGTTAATAAAAAAGTGTCTGTCTCTTGTTCATAAACATATTGACCATCAGGAGGAGCCACAGCAGTAAATGAATTAATACTATTCATCAGATTCCACACCTAAAGATATTAAATATTGAAAATAAATCATAATATTTAAAGGCAAAATATTTACTTTATTTAAACTTTGTGGTGCTCCTTTTATAATACCAGTAAAAAGTTCAAATAAGCTGCATAAATCAACAGGATATGTTTCTATAAATTTTTTTACAAACAAACCAACACCACTTTTCAAGTTGTCTATTGTGTCTATTGATAATCTAGGATTTCTTTTTAATAAATAAGACAGAAGCTTTATAATAATTGAATCATAGTCAACCAATTCAAATACATCCAATTCAATACTTTCAATGATTAGGTTTTCACATAAGACTCTTCCTAATTTGTCTATTATTGGATGATCCTAAAATTAATATAAAAAAACAACTTTAAATAATGGTAATAAATTATAATTACAGGTACTTAGAATTTAAGTATTTTGAATATAAAATGATTAACATAAATGTTTATATACTTTAACAGCTGGTGATTGACACATTTCTAATAAAGATGGCCACATTTTTAATGCGCTCATGGCTTCAGTATAACTTTCTAATTTTTGGATATTTTTTATTCCAAATTTTCCTTTCAGGTGAAGAAGCGTCCAACCCATAAGTACAACACCATATTCACTACTAGGTTGTATCATCTGAATAATTTTATCTGCTTCATTGAATTCTATATTAGTTGACCAAATATAGTTCTCTTTCCTGATATAAAATATAAATAAACCAAACAAAGTTATGTTGAAAAATGCATTAATGTATAATACTTCATTAATAATAAATTACTCACACCCAAAATAATGCAATGATTTGTAATGAATGTAGTGTCTCTAAACTTGAGATCTGACTCATAAAAGAAGAATACACCGTTTGTAAGTTATTATAATCATACTCCAATGTTTGATTTTTTCCAAAGTTATTATCCTATAAGTACCAAGTTAAATAAAATAATATAATACTGATAAATACTACCTATTTTTAACTTTTATTAAAATAATAGATTTTTTTGATTTTAAGTGGAATGAGAAATCATAATAAGTTTTATAATATGGCTTTTTAATTAACATCACTGTGACATTGAAAACAATTGTGTTTCAGAGAATATTACTAGAAATTAGAAAGTCAACACAGCCGGATTTTTAATAAGTCACCCAGAATTTTGTCTTGTAATTGCATTGGATATTTTTAGTCACAAAACATCAAAAAAGAATTAAGAGGACGGCATACCTGAATGTACTGTCTCCATCTTACTAACGCATAAAATATGAATATGCATACATTTTGTTTTATTAGCTTAGATATTAGAGTGAATCGACCTATTATCCAGCTTAAATGTAAGAACATTATCTGTGTTCTCTAATGTTTTTTTTTTGTGATATTTAATTTTTTTAAATGAGTTATTGGTATGAAAATATTAATATTTGAAAATGCAATACAAAATTGGAACTACTGGACAAATCTTTTCACAAGGATAATAATACTACCCATATCTTAAAACGTCTTAGCCCAGTTGAGATTTTTGAGTAAAATGATTAATAGTTAATATTTTTTTTTTTTAATATTGAATAGGTACATTTATATTTGATAAATTAATAAATGATCCTTGAGTATAAATAAAAAACAATTTAAAAATATAATATTAAATATATGTATACATGTAATAATTACTTACAATGAGATTAGTAATCCAAGTATTAAAATCATCTTTTGTAATTTGATCCACTCTGAGAGATGTTAACACCATCAATTGCAAAATTTCAATTTGTTGATTTAAAACAAATGATAATAAATGTTTGTGTATTATTTTTTGAAGCGGTTTATAAACAATAGTATCAAAAAATGTCAATGAACGAACATATGAAAGTTGTTCACGTAGAGAAATATACCACTCTTTCCAGTTTTGTTTACGAACAATTTTCTTACATATAGCCTAACAATTAAAATAATACAACTGTGTGATCATAAATAAATTGAAAAATAATTATTAAATACTTATTAGCTATTAAAAAGTACTTACAGAATAATGACAGTTTTGATTTTCTGCAGCAGTGAGAATAAATTTTAATGAACGAAATAAAAATAACACTTCTTCATTGTAAAATTTCCAAATATCTACACAAACATTGTGTAATTCATGTTCAGTCATAGTTGTATTCAATTCATTTTGACAAACAAACTCATTGTATTTGTTGTAAACAATTTTAGCGTCTTGCTCATTTATAAACTAAACAAAATCAATATATTAATTTAGTTATATCCTAGACCATGACGAGGATACATAAAATAATGTATGATTATTACAAGTAATTGGGATAGTATGGGATATAAGTATTCTGTATCTGATTTATCATTTTTATAAAACATTAATCTTGATGAAGCATGAAATTTAAATTTGAGTATGCCTTTTTTCAAATCATCCAAACCATCATATATCATTGATTCAATCGATTCATCAGCATAGTTTACATTCAATTTATTTAACTTATAGTAGAATTGTTTCCAGCAGCTAAAAATAAATGTAGCAAAATTATACATATTGATCTGCAAATTAATATGAAAAGTAATGATTTTGAGCATAACTTACGTCAGTTGTTTTGAATTCATTTTATCCACCAATTAGTAGAACAAGAAAAAAGGTGATGGAAATTTAAAATTTAAAATCTAAATATCTGTTAGAATATAATAAAAACAATATTATATGTTATTACACATACAATCCAATTTTTGAATAATGATTTCTGATTTCTTATACAAATAATTAAAATACAGTTTAATCAATTAATGAAATTTAAAATTAAAAATAAAAATAATTTAAATTTTTTTATATCTAAAAAATTTCAGTGGCCAATAATCAAGATGTAGCAAGTTCCAACTCAATGGTCAATACTCAATTTATAGACTAATATTCATAAATAGATACAGCCATCACAACTAATGGCAAATAGTAAGTACCAAAACCAAATCCAAAATAGTAAATACCAATCACTAAATCAAATTCTAACAACTACCTACCGTTAACTTTTTATTGTGTAAAATATTGAGGTTAGAAATGTTGTAATATAAATTATTATTATTATTGTTATTAAATTTCTATTGATAAAAGTTATACTATGATAAAAATTATACTATGATAAAAGTTATACAATTCCCGCGTATTTTGAAGTTTACGATTTTCACTTTTTCAGTTTTTCACTCGCTACTCAGTTTTTACTTTACTTAGTATACACTATACAAGTTAGTTATTATATATCGTCTAAAAATGGATCTTGGTAATTTATTTGACCTTTATTATGGTAGTTGTAGAAATACTCAGTGGGGTAGTCAAGATTATTAAATGGAGAGGTATAAGTACCAAGTTTAAGGAAAATTGAATTAACCACTACAGAAAATATGTTTTACATTTTTTTTTTAAACTTAAATTAACTAAACAGTTTAAAAACAAAAAATAACATTTTATTTATTTTTTGATAAATAGTAAATAAATACACTGATTTTATGCAACACTTAAGTCACTACTTTATCATACATTCATACACTGTTTTATTTTTGTTAGGATAGCAAATAAATAAAAATTATCAGGCAATTTGTTGATAAATGACATTTATTAATTAATTAGTACTAAATGATAAGTAGGTTTACTTCTAAATGTATTCACAATAATTCAAAAGGTTGTTATAAGAATTGTTTCTGTTACTGTTTAGACATCATCAATCATGATCACAATTATTTTGTTGTACAAGAACCCGTTGTCGATCATAATGGTATGTATACAATATACACATTTTTAATTGTAAATAAAATATATTAAATGTAAGTCCTTCATCTCCTGAACTTATTGCAAGTATTAATTAACTATTAATTATTTCGATTATTAACCAACTATTGTAAACAGGGTTATATTTAAAGGGTGGTCTGGGAGGGCAATGTTGGGCAGTGCGCCAGCACCCTGGCTTATGTTAGGGGCGACAAAATTTTACGGTGATTACAAAAAAGTAAAATTATGTTTACCAATAAGCAATGGAAAATTATAATTAATAGTGAGTATATTATAAATAAATTGTGTAATACTGGTTCCCAATCAACAACTGCAAAATTTTTTTGGGCGAAGTGAAAAATTGTTTTTTTTTTTAAAAATGATCTCTTGTTTGTCTAAGTACTAAATTGGATACCACAAATCCATAAAATTAGTTTGTGGCTTAAACTACATAAGAGTATGCTAAAGAAATAATATTTTTATAATACAATAGGTAGGTATCTAAATATTTAACTCTGAAAAGTTTACTCGGCAGATTTTAGTACAGTTTTGTAATAGTTAGTTTTTTTCATATGGTTGACATTGGTTACATAATACAAAGTGATTCTTTTATCATGAACCACTCATTATTTTAAAAAGTATCAATGTTTTTGAAAATATTTTTTTACATAGTTTCATGTTGTTATAAAAAAATATTTTTTTCCTTATAATTTTTTTATGTTTTTTACTTTTTTGAATGACAACATAGAGTTTTAATTTCATAATCCAAAGTAGAATATTTTCTAAGTATTTTGATACGTAAAAATCGAATTTTGGTTGAGTAGTTTATAAGTTATAAGTATTTAAAGTTTAGATGGCCGGAGTGGAGTGGTACGGAGTCACCACGCAAAATGTTTGTCCACTAAATGCTTGTCTAAACTTTAAATACTTATTACTTATAAACTACTTAACCATAATTCGATTTTTACGTATCAAAATACTTAGAAAAAATATTCTACTTTGGATTATGAAATTATAACTCTATGACGTCATTCAAAAAAGTAAAAAACTTAAAAAATTATAAGGATAAAAAATATTTAAAAATATGTTTTTTAAATACAAACGTTGTTTTTTTAATTACATGAAACTTTGTAAAAATATATTTTCAAAAACATTGATACTTTTTGAAATAATGAGTGGTTCATGATAAAAGTATCACCCTGTATATTACTCTTATAATTAGTTGAAATGTGGCATGTACATTTTTCACAAATATTATTTATGGGTGAAACAGGTAGTATAGAACATAATAATACAATTTAGTCTTCTATAAAAATTTGTTATATATTATAATTTACAATTATATTTAATTAATTATAAGACACTTATTGATTTTGTGTGAGTAATAATTATTGAGTAAAAATACTGAAATAAGAAAATATATCCAAAGCAAGTAGCTCAAAAATGTTGTTGCCAACAGCGACAACATCTTAAGTACAGCCCCTGATTGTAAGTGTTTTTCTTTAATTAAACCATTAAACCACTGGTACAGAAGTTTTATAATCTATTCATGATACAGATTCTGGATGGCCATTCAGTATGCTTCTAAGATAACATCTTATTTTTAATTGTTAATATTAGAACCTCTGCTTCCGGTTGCTGTAGCAAGACCACAGTCCTACATTGTAGTTTTAGGCATTCAAAGAGCTACAGAAATTATAAGGGATAATCTTGGGTTCATGTACTATAAGAATAAAGTAACAGATACTAAAATGTGAGTATTAATTGTAAAATTTATTATTAAACAAAAGTATATTAAATTATAAACATACATTTTAGTTATTTGTCATGTTACGAAAAAAAATTGGAAGGACAGTGCCATGCAACTGCTCATATATCTCCGGACCGCAACGATGATAGGTTGACACTGTCAAAGCTCCATTGTCATGGTGTCAGAGAGTCCAACCTCAATGTCCCACTGCTTCGACAGGAGATAACTGAGAGAGCTTTAGAGAAAACAATAAATTCATATACTCCACATGGAATTTATATGCAAGCAATTGCAAAGTTAGTACCTACCTATAAACTAGTTTTTTGCTTATTTTGTAAGTTTTTTTTGTCCAGTTTTTACAAAAGGTATGCAACTATGCATAGGTGATGGTTAGTTTTGATATCCTTATTTACTTGTTTTTGATATGATTTATGAATTAATTTTCCAGAGGCTGCAGAGAACTATACATTTCTACAGAGTGTAGAGAGGATGCGGCGTTTAAGACGTACGTTTTTCCTTCAGACACCACGAAACCTGGCAAATTTGCACGATTTATTGACGGCAGCTGATAATGAATGTTTTGCAATGACACTACAAAATTCTCCTAACGGGTTAAAGTATATTAATTATTTTCATTTATTAAACACAAAACATAAGAAAAGAATTAAAACAAACCATTTTAATAGGTTTTATCAAGGTCCATTGCTTATAGAGGGAACCATGAGTGGAGTCATTTTTTGTAATGTAGCCAATATAAATGCAATTGCACCAGATTTGAGAAATGTTGGTCACTGTAAATCAATAATGTACCTATATGAATGTTATTTAATGAATTATTATTATGGATTTTTATGTCCGAGTAGCAGGATGTGATGGCACATTTAAGACTATACCAACATTTTTAGAAAATGACGCCTATCAGTTATTTTCTTTCCAAGTTGTATTCAAGGATATTGTAAGTTTCAATATATCTGTGTAGTGTAGTAGGTAGTATATTAATTTATTATGACTAGCATAATAATTTAGAATGACTCAAATTCAGTAATAATAATAATATCCATATTATTTAAATTAATATTTTATTCCACTACTCATTGTTATGACCTTATAGTATATCCTGTTAATTCAACAAATACTAATATATTTAATGACAATTATTTTATGGAAATAGAATATTGTAAATACTTACAATGACATAATATATTCTATAGATTAATGTAATACATTATCTTGTTCCAGTCTCCAGAGCTTTAGTTCATGCCCTTCTAATTGGAAAAACTCAACAAATTCATGTTGAATTACTTCATTACATAAGAAATGTGCTTCCATTGTGTTATGATCAGCTCACAATTATTACTGATTTTGAGCAAGGGCTAATCAATGCAGTAAATTTAGTTTTTCCAGAGAGTAAACACCAAGGATGTTACTTCCATTACTGTCAAGTAAATAGCAAATACCTTCTACTGAACCTATTAAAATTAATAGTATGTAATTAATAATTAATAATTTATGTCAGGCAGTAATAAGATATGCCAGAAACAAGAGGAGCAACTTATTTCAATTATTCAAAGCTGACAATAATGCTGCTCATGTGCTTCGAATGGTAATTTGTAAAAATTAATAAAAATTATTATAATTTATAATAACTAAAATTTGTCTATAGAATTATCTATAGTTTTATATATCATTCATTATTTTTAATTTAATATTTAGACCTTACCCTAACCACATTAACAATATACAAATTATAGTAGCTAATAAATAGCGAACCAGCTAACATCCGCCCCATTCAAGCCTTTCAATCCATTTCATTAAGACTCTTAACCGGTGCTCCGTGGTATATCACAAATTCAGCTCTAATAGACAGCTCCATAATGACTTAAAACTTCCAACAGTAAATGAACTTGCTAAAAGCTACTATAAAAAATTCCATTCCAAATTAATTAACCATTCTAACCCCTTTATCAACAACATGTCTTCTCTCACATTACCTCGATGATTAAAAAAAAAAAGGCTAGAGACCTTTTAAACTAAATCTAAAATTAAAAATAAAATAATTAAATAAAATTGCAATGCCCGAACTCAAATTTTCTGAGGTTCTATCACTGGACAGTCTCCTTTTCATGTGCTACATGTCTTCTTTAATTATTATCATCATTGTTACTTATTGTTTTTGTGTGTAAACAGATTGTAATATTTTATTAAATACAAAAAAAAAAAAAAAAAGCTAATAAATATATTTTTATTTTGTTTTTACATTCAGAATTTTCACTGAATAATTAACTTCTATTTTCTATACAACTTAAATTTAAAAAAATATTTACTCTTTTTGAGCTATTTATGAGAAAATTTTGAATTTCGTTAGTGGTTTTTTAATATCGATGATAAAAACTTGAAATTTGAATGAAAGGTTTTTCATAAGTTGTTATTAGTATGTGGAAATTTTAAAAAAAGCTGTGCGTAAATCCACAATATATTATTTAGGAGCGTCTGAAGTTAGAATATTTACAGAAAAATTTTAATTTGGGATATTAATTGTGCATCGTGGGTGCTGTAAACGTATGACACATTGTTAATACTTAATATTATAGATTCTGAGCAGAACTTTTAATGTATTGGTTTTAAAACTATGTGTTTTTTTATTTTTGTGTTTGTCATCACGGTTTGGGTCTTTAAGAATGCTGAGATTTTCTTCAACAGCAACTTTTTTGGTAAGAAAGTGAATCTAGTTTGCGCATTTGGGAGGTCAAAAGTAAAAAATTCAAAATAGTTTTAAAAAGTGACAAGAAAACCCAACCAAAAATTAAGGAAAAATTGGAATTCTTACGCAAAACTAGTTTTCGAAAAAATCGATTTTGGTTTTTAGTGGAACTCTAAATGTGAATATTTTCACTGAATGTTTGTGTTTGAATTTTCTATACACCACACCAATTTTCAAAATATTTTGACACATGTTGAACTATTTATAGGCATATGATATTTTCGATTATTATTAATTTTTTTTCGAATCTTTAAAAAAAATGTTGGTTCGATCAAAAAACTTGAAAATATAATACAAGGTTCCTCTTAATTTGTTGTAAGTCCACAATTTTTATTTATCTGCGTCTGAATTTCAAATTTTGACAAAATACGTAAGAATCACTAAAATTTGCAAATTATTTTAAGTTAGGAAATTCAAAAAAATTTTTTCATATCTAAAATTTTAATGTGTACTACAAGACTCCTTGTAAATTTGTCTACCTATATCAAAAAAAAAAAATATTACCCGAAAGTCAAATTAAATTTGGTGAGAGTATGAAGCTGAAATGTTTACAATATATTGGATATTCACTAGATTTCTCATGTAGCGACTTTCTTATTTTGTTGTAATTCATAAACAAATAACTGTAGAATATTGAAAAGTGGAAATTTTCACTGTATGTTCATTTTATTGATTCATATACTTTTCATTTTTTTTAGTTTTTTTTCTATACCTAAATTGACAATAAAATTGTATTAGTTGGGTCAAAAAGCATGAAAATTTAATTCAAGATTCTTGATATATTGTTACGATATCAGTTGAAAAATATTAAAAATACGTTGGGACGTTTTTGTTTTATGATCATTCAAAGTTCAAATTTTGACATTTATCAAATTGAAAAATTATTTTGTAGTTAAAAATATAATAAATATTCAACTTTTATAGCTTAAGATTAAAAAAAAACCGGGCCACAAGTTCAATGTCAAAAGCCTAATAAGCACAACTTACTTAGAAATTACTAGAATCCAATAATTCTTCATAAAAAGAGTTTAAACGGTTAATATTTAATAATTAATAGGGTAGGAACCAGGAAGGTAAAAAATAAAGAAAATGTTAAGGAGCCTCGCTACTGCTATTATTTAAGGAGCAACATTTAGGCGATTTCTAATCACATTATAACCGCCAGGTATCTACATAGAGAATATAAGATATTATCTATGGGTATCTGTGTTGTAAATGATTATTAGTGTGAGTGAAACTAAATGCGGGTACTGCTCCCTTCCACGCCATCGGCACAGGTAATCGAAAAATTATTTTTGGATTCATTACTTTATAATTACTATAATAATAATCTTATTGACGTACATCATAGCTATTGAACAAATTAATAATACCTAATATAGTCCGCACCTCTGCACTCTTCAGTGTACAATTTACTACTTTTTTTAAGTTGGAGAATAGTAAGTTCACTGTGTAAGAACCTAGTAACTTACGTACGTAATATATCAAACGATTATATACTATATAATTTTTCCATCTTTTAGGAAGTAGGAACTAACATACGCACTCTTTTTCACCATGTAGGGATTTACACATTTTATATTCGTGTAGGAACTAACGTATAAATAAATTTTGCCCAGCTAGTTCTCGCGTAGTAACTTACATTCGCCCCTCTACTTACTCTTATCAAATAAAAATACCTACTTATGTAATACCAAATATAAGTAATACATTTATGTATACTTACCTAGTAGTTAATATTATAGAAATGATATAAAAATCAGGAATATTATTAAACTTTTTGACAGATTAAATAGATAGTGCCTCTACTATAATACCTAGTTCGAGTATTGGTATAATACAGTAATTACTAATTGAGTAATATATTATAGTAAGGTAGTTGTTTTAATGATTAGACATTAACTATTGTCTATTACAACCTAGTAGATAGTATTAATATTAGTGATAGAGTAATAGTATACATAATAAATAGCTAAGTACCTATACTTTAAATTAAATATTTTATAGTAATTTCTAATTTATGAACAATGATTGACAGTAGATGGTATTGCAGAGCATTTTTTTTTATTTTGAGCTTGAATGATGTAGTCTGGATTTCTGATAGGTTTTCCAGGATGTCTCGGGTCTACAATTTCGGGCAGTAAACAGTCGAAGAAGAAATTAGTTAATTTTGGCAACATATTTTGTTGCAAAAATAATTCGTCATACATAATTTTTTCAGTTTTGAATCCTTTTTTGGTCCATACGCAAAATATGCAATATTTTCTTTTTGTAACATAATATAATTGCCCATTTGCCCTTGCACTTGAAAATGATAGTTATGTTTTTTTATAATCTCCAATAATGCCATCCTTTAGTAGTTGCCAAAAAGTGATTTTTTTGATAAAATACCTTCTTCGGGGGTTATTTCAGCAGCGGAAAAATGGGCATTTTATTTCCACGATTCTAATAGACGATAAGTAATAGTTAAATGCTAATGATTAAATATATTCTATTTACCTAATACATTTTTAGACTATTTTCATCTTCAATTTTTCTACAACCAGCAGTCGGTAGGGTCCTTATAAAATTATGTTTGGGCATAAATGCTGACAGGTTTAATTTGTCCCTTCCCTGAGACCCTGAATACTGATCCCTCGAACAAATTGCGCCATTGAATTATGACCCTGCAGACGTCAAGAACGACTACATTTTAGTAAACACATACAATTTATTTTGAATTGAGTTATTTCTTTAAATTCTTAATTAAAAAATATTAATACTCGAGAATGCTAAATTTCTTATTATCATAATATGCAGTTGGCCCACTTTTATTATAGATATTTGGCAAAAATATCAAGTATGTAGGTATATAGGACTTAGTTATATACATCATACAATTGTACAAATGTACGATTTACGGCTGGCATCCACAATATTTGTAGCTATATGACTCACGACTTGGTAAGAACTAAGAATAATAAATAAACAAAGTAAAGAATATTTTTGGAATCCTCCCACACTTATTTAGATATACTAACACAGTCAATGAGGAAGGTCAACTAACAACCACTAATTTTAAATGTACAAAAATAAACTAAAAACGATTGGTGAGTAATAAAGGCATACCTACTATGGAAACGGAACACTTGTGTATAAATACGTTGAAAAACGTACTTTTCATAATAGTTCACTTTAAAAAATCACATAAGTAACAACTCTATTTTTCAGTAGTTACGTTATACATCAGGAACCAATTATTTTGTTGTAGTAAGTATTTACTGTACGTTACATAGATGTTTACATAATGATACCTAGGTCGAATATATAATACACAATAATAATATATTAAATTAATATTATAAAATATATATTTATATACTTAAGTAGTAGGTATTATATATAGTATTGGCTGTAAGCTTATAACCCATTTACATGAACTGGCTTCACTTATTTTCCGAGTCAATTTGTGACGAATTAAAAAAAACCATTTGTTTATAGTTAGATGTTTATAACGCTACTAGTACCTACCTTAATGAGTAGATTTATTAAAAAAAAACTGAGTGTTATAAATCAGTGAATCTAGCCATGTAAATGGATCATATTCCTTACTGTAGTACTAAACGTGTTTATTACAAATGCACATTATGAATTGCTTGATAGTTACATAATGCATCAAATTCACAGAAATGTCTCTGGTGCCATTGTTTTTCCGAGACTGGTGGGAAGATTTCGAACGCGAGCGATTACCAAGACGATTATTGGACCAACACTTTGGTCTGGGGTTGCATAGAGATGATCTGTCCAATTTGACGTCTACTCTCGCTTCGCCTTCTCTGAGATCGGCCACATACTACAGACCATGGCAAGGTGTACTTAACAGGCAAAATAGTGGTACATCCAATCTTAAGTTTGATGAAAAACAAGTGCAAGTCATATTGGACGTCCAACAATTTGGACCCGGCGAGATTACAGTTAAAACGTCAGAAGGAGCAATAATTGTAGAAGGAAAACATGAAGAGAAACAAGACGAGCATGGTTTTATATCTAGACAATTTAAAAGAAGATATTTATTACCTAAAGATGTGGATATCGAAAAAGTTGTTTCAAGCTTGTCTTCGGATGGAATACTAACAGTCAGCGTCCCTAAAAAGGTAAACCCTTTTAACTAACCAAACTTAATATATAAAATATATAGGTACTTACCTACCTATATGTATGACATAGCCAATAGGGATGTCATGTTTGAATAATCATGTAGGTTAGGTACATTTTTTAAATTCACGAATTAATGAATTAGTTAATTTTTTTAGGTGGGTAGGTACTAAATTACTGGTAGTATGATACACAGTTCTGGTACAACCATATAAATCACATTATCTTGTTTAGATCTAAATATAAAATGCACTATTTACTATATAGTTAAAATTACCTATTGAGTAGTACTAGCAGGGCGCGGGTAGTGTATCGGAACTGGGTACAGGATACCTACTATAGTTACTGCATAACATCATACGTGATACGTAGAGAACCTGAGCTCCATCAAAACCTTTTAAAACGAATCATTTTGCTTTGGTTTTTTATTTACATTATCTATACAACTTGAACCCCATTAAACTGAAAAAAAAATATTTTCCCTCCTAAATAATTGTAAGAAAATTGTACAGGTGGTACCAAGTACAGTTTTTTAATTTAGTTTATGGGTCTGTAATATATACTGTAGCCTGTAGGTATTTAGGCGTTCAAACAAGAGATAACAGATAATATTCTTAGCCTAAAGTTTGATTATAATTTATAGGTCAATTGATAATTACTTAATTCACCTGCTAATATTAGAGCTAACAACAAAAAAACGGTTACACTGAACTCAAATTTACTATATTGTGCGTTTGTAAGACAGAGACAACATTATATGCGGTTGTAGCATTATTGTTATGCTTGAGCGATATAACAAATTTAAACTGCTCGTTTTTATTTGTCAAAACTTGTAAATCGGAAATTTGTGCGATTGACTCATCAAGTGATTTAGGAATAGGAGGCAGCACTTTTCGTCGTTCATGGTATATAGATTTTCTAATACTATTTATATCAGAAAATTTGGATGTACTGCATGAAGATAGCTCCGTGCGTATTATTTTATTTGGCCGTAAATTTAAATCCTCACATGCTTTTCTTTTGCACTTACCTCTTACTTCCAGCAAGTTTAAATCTTCAATAGTATTCGGTTCATGATTATGGATATCTTTAATTTCGATTAGTGTTGATTTTGAACAATTTGTTTTTACATACGGCACTACAATCTTTTTTAACGCAACGCCAACTTATATTTCCCGAAACCAAATTTCTACTAAAGTGGAATTTAAAGTTACGAAAAATTAAACACTCACGATTTTTAATAGTATTTATTATATTAAATTCCATTTTTAAACACTCGAAACTCACGTAAAATATTTGTAGTTTTTGCAAGATTGCACAATGCATACACAGACAGAAGTGAGAGTCGTCATGAAGTCCAATTAAGATAAAATGGACCGATATTCGATAATATCGATAAGAGCGTAACATAAAAATTAAAAATAGTTACAACGGGGAAAAATAATATGTACAATAGTTTTAACTTAATAAGGTAATAAGTAGTATTGCTTGGTATTCCAGAATACAGTTTGGCAACGTTGCACGGGTTTAACACATTTTCATAAAAAATATTTCGGGGGCAAATGGGTTATGATTTCGGGCGCAAGTGGGTTATAAAAAAGGTGTGATGTGCGCAAATGGTTTGTACAGCTTTTTATAATCCTACCTATTCAAATCTTGATGTCTTGGTTTTGTTAATAATAATTGCATTTTTCTCTAATTTCGTTTCTTTTAGTTATTGTGTATTTTAGTATTTATGTAGGTGCATGTAATTTATTTTGGTTAGGTTCGATTAATGTTGTTGAACAGTGTTAAGGTCCCCACACACTGCCGCGGTGGCGATGACGGTAAAATGAGTCCGGACACAATTCACCGCCACCGCGGCGGCACCGCCAAGACAAATTAATTTCACCGCCACCGCTGCAGTGTGTGGGGACCTTAACAAATAACAATATTAAGAGGACGCTACCCATGCATATGTTGTCTCCGTCTCACACACGTGACACGTACCTATACGACAGAACATTTTCGTTCACTAATTTCAATAGTGTGCTGTTAGTTTTTATATTAGAGCGAATTGACCCATTATCAAAGTTTTAAGTAAGAACATTATCCATGATTAGGCGTTGGCGGATTTTTGGGTATTTTAATTTTCAAGCGAGATATGAGCATTCTTGATTTGTGTTATTTGACATACTCATATCTTGTTTGAAAATTAAAATAACAAAAATCCGGCAAATCTTAAGCATAGATAGTGTTCTTACCTAAAAGTTTGATAATATTTAAATTTACTCAAATATCAAAACTAACAGCACACTATTCAAACTAGTGAACGAAAATTTGCTATATCGTAAGTTTGTAAGACGGATACAACAAACGCGTGGGTGAGCATCCTCTTAAATATTTATATTACCGGTACCTTTCTTATTCTGAATAGATTTTATATTGTTTAAACTTTAATGATTACATTTTCACTTAAATACTAATAAAAACTAAGCATCCAGTAGATAGGTAGATAATAATCAATGGAAGATGATCGCACGCACTTATTAATTATATATAACTTGTTAGGTAGGTATAATGTAAATAACATCTGTAGGTCTATGGAACCGTCCACAAAATTCAAGACAAGTGGTTCCCAAAGGGTGTGCCGCGGCACACTAGTGTGCCGTGAAATTTGAAAGGTGTACCGCGACAACTTGAATTTTTTTTTATAAAAAAACATAAAATGATTTTTTCAAAATATTTAAGTATATTATAATAAAAATAAAAATAATTAATACAAAAATTAACTTTAAATTCACAAATAAAAAGATATAATTATAAATTTTAGTGTGAAACGTGTGCTTGATGTTGTTTGCATAATAGTTCAATTCTAGTTCTATGATATTCTGTGATATATAAAACGATAATAATGATGATAATCATACCCGACATCATTATATACCTATTATTCGATAAGTATATAATATTTATCCAAAGTGTGCCATGACTTATAAAAACTAATAATAATGTGCCACGATGGGAAAACGTCTGGGAACCGCTGGTCTAGACTCTAGACTATGATTTTCTGTTTTTATTTAAAACTGATTCTTATTTGATTATTTTTGCCAAGTATAAAACTATCAACATAATTACGCCACGTAAATATGATACCTATCTAAATAATACTCAATTCTATAGACGTAATTACAATTTCCTATATACTTGCCTTGGTGGTCTGTGTAAAACTAACCGCAGACCTGCTTGTATTAATTTAATAAATATTAAAACTAAAATAATACATAAACCCATTTACTCATGAGCATGCTTAAGATTTTGTGTCAAGCGCAACACGCATTTTAACCAGGTTGAGAGAACAGCAAACTACAAGTTTGTGTATTTTATTTAATATGTACGTATAATGTTTGTCATATGAGTATGTGACATACCTACTTGTAAAGTATACAATTTGTAGTTTGTACCTTTATGTTTATTGTACATGCTTGGTTATCAATATTTTATTTTGTTTGTATGATTGTAATTTGTAGCCCATGATCACTTTAAAAAAATAACCTATTTCAATATTTCTTCGCTACCTTAACGTCATCTGAAAAGGAGATGGTGCAGAGATCTATTGCAATACAAATTCACTTAAGAGGGCGTTATGGTACCGAAATTCGGCCGTAAAAACATGGTTTCGTACTTCGTTTCTCTGCTAATTTCTTGTACCTCACTACCTCAGCATTTCACAATCACCCTTCATGCTAAGAGTGGGTGACTTAATCACGTCCACCATGTTATTTTTAAGTCTCTTATCACATATACCAATTGTGCTACTTTAGTATAGAATATAGATTGTATATTTCTTATAAAAATAAAAAATATTTCTTCGCCACTTATTTTGTTAGTGTTAGATCTTAGAACTAGGACCAAATCAATTCAATTTACTAGGTACCAGAAAACCCATTTGAAACATTTTTCTACTCCAAAAAAAGATTAAAGACAGTAGACAAACACAAAAAAAATTACGGACGCGACCGATTGTTGTAAAAGCAATACGTCATTCATTAATAATCGGAATTAAAAGTACATTTCCGTTATAGGTCTGAATTTCTATTTTCATCGGATGTTTTGGAGTGATTTGACATTTGGAGACTATTATAGTAGATACCCATACTCAATTATTGTTTTTCTGAGCCAATTAGAAATATTTGTATGCTAGTATGTTACAAAATAGAATAATAACATCCATGGTCTGTGCCATTTTTACAATGATACATAAAGAATCCTACCCATGATATGAGATTTGAATTTGGTAAAATTTAATATGCCTGAGGAATACTTACCCTAATGAGTATAAAAGAAATATTAATAGTATAAGAATAAGGATATTATTAGAAAACCTATGATAATTTACATTTTTGAACAGAATATATTTTTAATTATAAAATATTAAGATATCAATCTTTAACTTTCAAGAGGTTTTAAAACTTAAAAACTTACCGTTCCTACAAGTTAAATTTTTTTTTTTTTTTTGTAGGAAACCCAAGTAACAGGTGAACGCAGTGTACCAATTATTCAAACAGGAATACCAGCAGCAAAAGCAGTTGAAGCTGTGAAAAATGAGGAAACTCCCATAGTTACTGAAATTAAAGTTGAACATCAATAACTTTGTTCATTTATATTTTAATTATAAATTATGCTATTAATACATTTTGAATAATATTTTATTTATAAAAAATTCTTTGATAAGTTTAGTAAATGTGATTATTTATTTTTTTATGTGCCAAATTAATAACAATATTTGTTCAATGACTAAGCCGCTAAGCCTCTACAAGTCACAACTCAAATCAGGGGTCAATGATACATTCAATATTTTGGACAAGGTAGCTTTTGAATATATTAGATTACAAAACTAATTTTGCTCTATTTACTCTTATTAAGTATATACTATGTCAACTCATAGTAAAAAAGATCTATCAATAATATTAGATTATAAAATCGTTTTGTTAAAACCAATTACTTTATTGGTATATCATTACTTAACATTAAATACATATTTTTAAATTGTAACTTATGATAAATACAATTTGTTTTATTTTTCATGTTGTTGATATAACTGTATTATTTTAAAATAATATTAATATATTATTAAGATATTATAATAATTCAAATTCCTTATATTTAAAGTCATTGAAGAATCTCTTCAATGAATGGACAGTTGAATAAATAATGATTTTTACCACCTAAGCTTTTCACAATAGTTAATTCACAATCAGTGTTTTCATATTTTTGCAATAATTCCATTTTTTCATCATTTATCTGAATAGAAGAATCTAAAACCAAACATAATATTTTGTAATTAAATCAACGACACTGATAAAGCTTTAAAACTGAACAATTTAGTGTATACCTAAAATGCATAGAGAAACATGAGTTGGATGAAATAGTAATTCCTCTGGAAGTTTTTTTATATTTCTAGAATTCAAATATGCAATGTTTCCCAAATCTACAGAATGTACTTTAACCAATTCACCAGGTTTCATTTGATCACATATTACTCTGTACCACATACCATCTAAAATTAAATAAATGTATATATTTTATTAAATTACTATAAATACAGTTAATAGACTTAAGTAATAAATACCTGGAAATTGGCCAAGGCATACTTCATCAATATGTGGTAAATAGGGATTTAAACTCAAGCTACAATACTCTTGAATCATGTCGGATAAAAGTGAGAAAGACTTTCCAAACAATTTATCTCTCATATAAAATACTCCATCATGATACACAACAAACTTCATGTTCACAACTGATTTTTCAACTAATTCAAATCTTAATAAATTCATGTATTTGGTAAATCTTCCGATATCATCTATATTTTACATTTGAAATAGAAAGTGTAGTGAGCATTTACCCATTAAACAATACTAAGTGTTATTATTTAGAAAATATAATGAATCAAATGAATATAAATTTTGTTGGACTAAACAAATTTACAACTGAAAACACTAGGGTTTTATAGCTTTACAATATAAATTAAATACATTCAACACATTATTTCATAAAATTTATTTAATGAAAAATAAGTTATTATAAAGTTATATACATACTATCTATGGTAACATTATCTTTCAGCCACAAAGGTTCGGTTAGACTATATAATATAGAATTTAAGTTTTCTTTTACAAGTGTTATATTTAAATCTACATATTTCCATCCTTCTGCCTTTGATTCATCAAAATGCTAATAAAAAATTTTTCTTTAACTAAAATTACTATACATTTTTCTTATTTTAAAGTATTAACTTACCACAGATAGGCGAACACCAATAACATGTTCAACCAAATATTTAGCATCAAACTGGATAGGATATGGTAAAGCATTTTTCAGTCCTACTTTTAAAAAACTTACAGGCATCTATAACAAACATACATTATTTAAAAATAAACAAGCATATTGAAAATTACTTAGTTGCAAAATGTATGTAGTACACGTTTCTAATTAGCCCTAATACTTAGCCTTATTAAAGTTCTTTAAATTATCAAACAGAGAAACAAAAGCATTTAAATTCTGAAGGAAGGTGACATAGTGATAAATATTGTTACATTATTAGAATATTGGGTGCTGCTCGAATATGCGGTCTACTGACGGGACGCGATCTACAAACATGTATGTAGACCGCAAATCTGAGCAGCGATAAAAAAAACATTTTAAAATAAAACTGACCCAAATAAAATTTGCTGTAATACATTGTATACCTACGATATAGTTTTGTATTTTCCCCCTATATTTATACTAAAAGACAAAATCACTGATATACCACAGTGTGGTAGTGTATTTAATAAGTTTGTTAGTAACTGAACAGCAGTCGATCAGTACCCTAACCGTGTATTAGTGCATATCATCATGCAATTAAAAGAGTTCTATTCGACTGTCGCCTGTAGTGAAGAAAATGCCACTGCATTTTTAAGGGAGCATGGCTTATTAGACACTGCCAACAAAACGTTACCATTCCATAAGTGAGGTAGTGAAATGGTAAATAGTAGAAAACGCGATCACGGGGGTGAATTTTGTCCGGTTCTTCGGTGCAAAAAAAAAGGGGTGCCAGACTTTGCGCAGTGTACGCCAACCATGCAACTATTGCAATTGCATCTCGACCACTATTGTTGGAAAGTTGCTAAAAAAGAAGAACCCGATTTATTTATTGCATTTTTGAGGGACATTGAAGTGGTTTATCGTTAAAGTTTTTATACATAAAATTATTTTTAATATTTTTTACATAATTTTTTATTTTCTTAGTAAGATTTTTTTACTTTTTTTAAAAATATTTTTGACTTATGACATTGCGTATTGTATTATTTATTTACATACCTTTATTTTTAATGATTTTTACTAATATACTAATAATTAAAATATTTGATTATTATTTTAATTTGGTTATTTATTTACATACTACTATTACTATTTACAGCGTATTATAGGTGTGGGGTCTACATAATATATAGACCTCATATCTGAGCAGAAAAATGTTGGTAGACCGCATATACAAGCAGCACCAAATATTGTTATAAAAATAAAAGGGAAAATATTCTTATTGTGTCTTTTATTATTCAGAACAAAAAAATAGGCTTAATTCATAAATGTAGCAAACCATTTTATTTTTGATGTCTTGCTTTAAATAAGGAAAATTCAAGCACATAAATTAAATTGATTTATATCAGTACACAGGATATAACAGAAAGACTTGCAGTGGTCGAAGTGGGAGGGAGGATACGATGGGATGGTATCCCTCCACATTTTATAATTCACATTTTCCTCCCCACGTCCCCATTACTTCATTTATTTTGTACTTTGTACAATTGTTAAAGCAATATATGATAACTAAATAAACTATGAAGGCCATCTCTCCATTTATTTTGAGCCACTTTGAACACTAAAGAACTGACAAATAAATATAAAAAATTGGCACTAGTTAAACATATGATAAAAATTATGTGGATAATAAATAATTTAAGAAAAATAATTTTCAAATAAATTTACTCCAAAAATATTGATATTTAAAAAAAAAAACTTAGATTTAGTCTTTTCTAAAACTGTATAATATTAAAAATTTTTTCACTTATATTTATTGGCGAAACCACTGTCAACTTTTGATTTTCAAATAGGAACATATAATAAAAAGGTCATAAATTGATAAAACTCTTCTTTTTTCCATCAATTTTAGCATTAAAATTTGTATTTTTCATTATTTGGTTTGTGAAATCCAGTTCCTCAAAGTTTGGTGGTTTAAGGAGGTGTTCTAGTCAATAGCGCTACAAATATCCAGTAACCCAAATAACCAGTTTAGAAATCATTTGTCGTAATTCGGTATGTCTAATTAGCCGATAGGCTAATAAATGATTTGGGTTCAAAGTACAATAGTTTTCGCTTATTAAAGCTTATAGTTCCTGGTCTTTACAGATGAATAAATAGTTTAAACAACACCTCCTTAAGCCACCAAACTTTGAGGAGCTATATCTCATCAACGGATTAACGAAAAATGAAAATTTGAACGTAATAATTAATGAAAAAAATAGTTTTATTCAATTATGAAATTTTAAGTATAGGTTACCATTTGAAAATCAAAAGTTGATAGTGGTTTCACCAACAAATATATGGGTAAAAAAAAATTTAAAAAAATTAAATATTTTTTGAGATAGTTAGTGTACCCTCCTTAAATGGATATAGAAAAAAAAATGTTTAAATATTGATATAGAATAACACAGCCAAAGTTCAATTTATTGAAATTACTATTTAGACTATTTCTTTTTTGAATGCATTTATGTGTTTACTGTTTAAAGAATCACCAGGTGTGCACACTATTAAAATATGAATAATAATACGAGTATATTAAATTTTTCATTTTTAAATGCTTACACTTTTATGTTCAAACAGTAATTCTATCATTTCAGATGAGTTGATGTTTTCTTTAATAGGATCATCCATGTGCTTCACAGAATAAATGTTGTCTCCAAAGAATTTATGAATTCTGCCTCTGACATAGTTATTGGTTAAGGTAGATTTAAATCCTACAATTTCACCATAAACTGGTTTTCTATTTAAAGGCTGAGCTAAAAAATAAGTTTTGTTTTTAAACACTTAAACATAAAAGACTAAATATATTTTACAAACTATAAATTTAGAGTTATTTTAAATTTGTAATAAACATATTTTGTTTGATTTGCAAAGAACAAAGTTTTCAGCACAATATTTGTTAACTCTCTGAAACCCACGCACAATATAGATTAAACTCATTCTTATAAAATTGTTTTTTTTTTTTAAAGAATTTTGAGAAATCTTAGAATGAAATCACATAAAACTATTATTGTTATAGAAGAAAACAATTTTGAGGATTTGACATATTGATTTAATTTAATTAGTTGACTTAGTGTACACTTTCAAAATATAATTGTTGTAAATTTAAATGAATGTTTAATTGTTTTGAGACAATATTTAGACAAATCAATGTCATACCCTCAACATTTTTTGTACTGGGTGATTTTACTAAAAGATTACTAAAAAAAAAGAAGATTTTGTGTGAATTTATTTTGTCAGAGAGAGAAAATAAGCAGTATCATAGTCTTAAATCAAGGATTGAATGTAATGTGATAAAAATAATGTAAAGTAACACAAATTTAATTTAAATTAAAACATTTAATGTAACTGTAATTTTATTAATTTTCAAAAGTAATTTACTCAACACTGGCTGCATGTAATAATATAAAGAAATAAATAGCGGTCGATCACCAGATACTTAAAGTTTTTAAAGTAGCTCACTGATTGTAAAAAGTTGGTGATCCCCATCTTAAATCATGCAATGAAATTTTATTAAATTATTTTGATGGGGACAATTGCATCAAATTGAAATGGTACAAAATTAGAAAATATATTTAAAATTTTAAAAATATTTGAGAAAAACATTTTTTTTATATTTCAATTTGATAAACTTGTAATGACCTTTTCTTGTGATGTATTTCTTTTATGTTTTTTTCTTGTCAATTTTTAAATATTTAAAATAAAGTATAGCATATTTTCAAAATGTTTAAAAATTTCTGTTCCGCCTACATTATTTTATTTGACATGGGATTACAGAATACATACATAATAAATATAAAATTTATAGTTACGATTTTTATAGCAATAAGCTGCCAAATTATTCCAGGATGAAAAAAGAAATTCAAAATGATGTTTTTCTTTTGATCTAATGAATACTGAGCTCATATCTTTTAACTTTAGCAACTCTACTGAACTATCACTCTTAAAATCAATATATGGAACACCAAATTCTTCAATAGTAGGCTGCCATTTTTTCAATTGCACTTTAATTTCTTTATTTTCATCAAACATGATTAAAACAATTCTTTCAGGACATACACTGCGTACTTTGAAAACATAAGTTGTATTCTAAAAAAGAAAAATGAGTAAGAAGTTTCAAGGGATAAAAATTAGAAATAATTATGATCTTACTTTTAACTGTGGAACATAGTCACTTTTGGTATATACTTTAAATGAATAAGCCGGTAACTTAGTATATTTTTCAGGTAGAACTCTAATTTTTATTGTATTAATTACTCTACCGTAATCACTCATAGCAACATTTACAGTATTTCCAGCAACCAAAGTTACATATCCACGACCATATAAATTAATTGAGTTATCAAATGCGCCCACTAACATTCCATATTTCAGATCATTTCTAAATTGTTTATTTCATGATGAATAATAATTGATACTTATTTGCAAGTTTCAACAACTTAAGAGGACGCCACACCCGCATGTGCTGTCTCCGTCTTTTAAATGTACAACATAGCAAAAACTGTTTAGCGCGGGACAACTTTTCTCGCACCATATTTGTTGTAGAATACCAAATTTTCACAACACGTAAAGAAGAACTTTATCTGTGCAACAGCGTGCTTTTTTTTTTAATTACACTTTCCAATCATTTTTTATAAGCAAATGAAAAAAACAAAAAAACAAAATGTTTAGAAGCAAATAACTTTTATTGTATTTATGTTATCTAAAATATAGGCACCCTGTTGCATAGATAAGTTTCTACTTGATATGTTTAGAAATTTTGGAGCCACTAACTACAAACACAGAAAGATAAAAGTTGTCCCGCACAAAACAGTTTTTGCTATGTTGTTCCTTTGTAAGACGGAGACAACACATGCGGGTGTGACGTCCTCTTAATGACTTACATATTTAGAAGATCAGAACATTCAATATCATTGCTAATAATCTTCAATTTATCTAGTATATTATCACCATCATTAAAAAATGTAGTCAGGCCAGTAAACATGTTTGGACCCAACTTTTTTTCAATTTTAATTTCACCACCCGTACAATTTTCAAAACGATTATAGAAATCAAGATTATTAAGTTCAAATTCAGGCCTGAAATTTAATTAGTAATATTTTGTTAACGTTTATGAATTATATTACCTGTGTTATAGGTACTTTTTAAATTTTTCCCATTTTGAACTTAGAGGCCTTCCAAAAAGATCATCATTTTCTAGATTATAAAGTTTAATTTTGTCATTTATTTTCAATTGTTTAGATTCCTCTATTAAACTTCTTCCAGAAACATTAGGTCCGATATAAACTGAAGTCCTACAAATAATATAAGTTATTATAATAATCTGCTGAAAAGTTAACATATTTAATATTTGTTTAATTAAAGTTAGTATATGAAAACAAATTTAAAAAATAAATAATATGACTTTTAATATTGTATCCTTAACAGCATAAAAATGTCTCAAATTTTCAATTTCGTAATAATAGACAGTAAAGTGGATATTAAAAACCAACAATCATATTTTACTTTCTTATTAATTACTCTACTAACTGCTTGAAAATGTTTAATTAATGTTTTTTTCTAACACTAAACTAACCCAAATTTTGTTTCATTTTTTCCATTTTCTTTAATAATTGTTTTTAGATTGTCATCGGCTTCATATTTTTCAACATCTTCATTTTCTTTTTGATATTTTAAATTAATCATTTTTCGTGTTCGATTTGAAAAATCCACCTTAATGAAAGATGGAAAATCTAATTTTTCATTTAAAAGTTTGTATGCTGCACTATAAAAATAATAATTATTAATTAAAATTATTATTACACTATACTTCATGTAGGTTAAGAAAAAATCTTGGTGGTGACTAGTTTTTGGCGGGTGGCAATTACGAAACACCCGTCTGTCACTCACTAAGTCTACCATCTGTATGCTAGCTGCTATACAGTGAATGTACATGCCTCTGCACACGAGTTAACAACCAAGTAAGGTTATTATTATTATGATTTACAATAGATTAAAAAGCAAAACCGCTTTACACAGTTCTTATTTTGCATAGATACTAAATTAACTGAATCAAATTAATTAACATATTAATTAAAATAAATATAGACTTTAAATATCTTTAATAATATAAATATTGAAAAAAGCCCATGCTGGGAATACAATTAACATTTTTATAGTAATATTTGTATTAGGTTATTATGTCCAGCACTGGTTAAATTGTAATAAATAATAATAATTTTGTTTTTAAAAACTTTAAGTGTATGTTTCACTTAGAAATAGTAAAATTACTCACTCATCATCTTCAAACTGAATAAATGCTTGATTTTCATAATCTGTATTATGGATAGTAATATTTTGAATCGAACCATATTTTTGGCATAAGTTAATGAAGCCTTCCTGCAATTGTAATTAAAAGAAAATAAATTTTGTACAAAATAAGTTTTAATTAAAATTTGTTTGTAACAGAGACGGATATAGGGTTTGATTTTTGGAGGGAGGGGGCATATCGGAAAACTACGTTCGTAATGGCATATTAAACAAAAAAATTCAATTAAACGATATTGAGTATACCAATATAGTATTATATTATATATTTAAATGATAAAATGGTATATTATATTGAATTCAATTGTAAAGTAGATAAAATAACTTTTTCTTTTTTGGGGGGAGGGGGCAGAGCCCCTTGCTATCTCCTAAGAGGAAACCTCCACTGGTTTTTAAATTAGGGCAGTTATGACTTTTAAAATTAAAAACTAACCCAAGACAAAATTGTTACAGGCATATAAGCAAAATTGTTCTGTACTTCGTATGTGCCCCAGACATGGAAAAAACGAGTTGATCATGAATTCTTTATGTATTTGGGATGTAAATCACCGTCTATTCTAAATCTGGGGCTCACATGAGCAGTGATAGGAAAAATACGCAAGTTTTCTGACATGCCTGTTTAATTAGTCATGAACTAACCTTTATTAATTGCTTTGATGAATCAACCATACATATCTCATAATCACAATCCCTGAAACAAAAATCAATAACTTAGTTAAAATAACTTTTAAATTATTAGAATCTAAATTATAAATATTTAATATGCTAATATGTAATTATCATGAACCTAGATTAATTTTAATGCCTGGTTATGACATTCACACTATTTAGGTTTACTTTATTTACCTAACTACCAACTTTTTTTTTATATTATACATATATAACTAATATCTGGTATTCTGGTAAGGTTACTGGTCCTTTACTGGACCAAACTTAGAACTTGTTTGGAGGTCCAGGGTGATCTACAATCTATGAAATATTCAAATCTACCATAACTATCTAAATAATATGATGTATACATAATAGACAATCAACAATTAAACATCACTTTTTTGAAATGGTTAAGTAGCTAAGTTAACAGACATAGAATTTGTATTTATAGTCGTGCAGTTATTAAACTGTAATAAATCAAAATAGCTTAAATTATCAAGGAAAGAAATTGATAAATAAATATAAACATTTGTGAAAATTAAAATATAAACAAACATTCAGGTTAGTTCAAAAGCAGTAAGTAATTTGAAAGGAATTGAGATAATACCTATAATAATACTTAGTAAGCATTAGTTTTACTAATTTTAACATATTTAAATGACAGTATCTTAAGGCTAAAATATTGGATGTGGTAACATACAAATAGCACCCAATTGTATTTTAATTGGTTTTTTCTTTATGAAGTAAAAGTTTATACCAAAGTTAATTTAAAAAAATCATTAAATTTACATTGTTGAACACAACTTATAGGTATGAAGATGAAGGCACAAATTGACTAAATTTTTTGGGGAGACTCAAGCTTCCCTCCCCATAGACTATAATATAAGTAAAATTATAGTACTATAATTACTAGATTTTTAATTGGGAGGACTTGACCGAAATTTGGGGGGGGGGACTAAGTCCCCCCAGGTACCCACTCCTATTTGCGACAATGGGTATCTTTATTATTTATCTTGTTAAAATAACACATAAAAACAAAAATTATGATAGAACCACTACATGGCCAGTCATCTGCACATGCTAGTAATGTATTATTAGACTGCATATTGGTAATCACTAATCATCTTATTCTACAAGAAATGCATTTTACATAAATATGTGATATTAATTGCATGTAATCGACCTTTTGCACATGAAATTAATTCAATAGTTTAGAACTGTTATACGAGGTGAGTTTTTAGCTGCCCTTGTATATAATAAGTAATTTATTACCATCAGGTTTTTGATAAGAAATAGTTTGCATGTGGCGTTATATTTCTTTTAAGTTTAAACATAAAACAGTTCAAGCTTATTTTTTATACAAAATCTAGTTTTACAATTGATCAATTTAAGCCAAGGAGGCTCTAAAATAAAAGCCATATATTTACCAAGTGTTTCAGGTATAAAAAAATGTTGGACATGGTTCTATTTCATATTTAATATTATTACTATGAAAATTAATGATTACAACAGAGAATGTGTAACCCCCACAAGTTAAATTTAAATTTAAAATTAAATCACCAGCTTAAAAAAAAACATAGGTACACATCTGCTCGGAGCTATACCTGGTAATACATTATTTTTATTAAACTAAAAATTATTGATAGGTAGGTACATACAACTTTTATATAAATGTTTGAGTGGACACACGTATATAAATTATAATCATACTACCTACCGAGTGTTTTTTTTCAGTTCATTTTTAGTGCATACTTTAATATTATCTATGCGGACAAGGCACATTAGCTTACAAAAAAGGAAGTTTTTTACTGCATACATAACCTTTGATCTAATAATTATTATGAATTTCAAAGCTATCCAGACTACAATCATTAAAAAAATTAACTTTAAAGGGGATTAGCCTCCCCCATGGACAAATTCCAATTCCTCGCAAACAATTGTACTAACATGCATATGTGCCATACAGGGGTGCCCAGGTGCTCGAGCACCATTTAAATTTGTTTGAATAAAAATTGGGATCAAATTTTAATAATAACTAATGATACAACCTTTTTGGTTCTTTTAGCTTTTCGTTTAACAGCTTTTAGCTTTTGAAAGGGTATAAATATTATTTTATTGTTTGTTTTATTTTTATTTAATCCATATATAAATTGTACTTATATAATATACATACATATAATGATTGGTTTACAACTATAAAGAAACAATTATTATTATTATTGTTATACAATCGTTCAAACAGTCTTACCTTAGTTGTACAGTCTGTACAATGTTATTATAGAAAGTGCAAGAGTGGCCTTAAAATATTTATATGATTATCTGATGTTATATTTATTATTTTTGAGATTATTTAAATGTGTTTGACAGTGTTAAAAGAAAGTTTTTTTAACGAATTCTGCATACCGCAATTTTTCATTTCTAAATGGACTTTTAGACTTAGAAACTACTGAATCAATTGGCACCAAATGTCGCACATGTTCTTTGAGATACATGGAGTGTTCTTTGCTTTGTTTCTCAACCTCTAAAAGTTAATATAGATGGCTTACACATATAACTGTGGAAAGAGAAACTAGGCTTTGGAATAATACCCTGAGGGCCCCACCGGTTTTTTGAAAAATTGACTAGTTCTAAATTTCTGGTCTCCACCCCGGATTCCCTCTTTTCTTTTTTTCAGACCACCTCCCACATGACATGAATTTTTTTGAGCCACAAAAATCAAATACATTTGATTTGTTTATAGTGCATAAATTTAACATGGTTTACATTTATAAAATTTAAAAAAAAAATTGTATTGACGGCCTCACCTATAGTGTGATTTTTTTAAATACAAGGTAATGATATTTAATTTACTGTATAAATAGTTTTGAATGAACCAATATGTTCAAGAAAAAGGTATTTTTTAACGAATCAAAAAATTTTTAAATTATATAATATACTTGATAAAACTAGGTATTGTAATGTACATATAGCATTGACATAATATAAATATATTATGTCAATGACATATAGAGAGTATATTATATTATTACATACAATTAGACTATGTGTAGTCAGTTTTTGTAAACAAATATTGTCATATTTTATTCCACGGGCAATGAGTTATTTCGATAGAAGCAGTATATTATAATTGATATTTACTAAAAAAATAAATTAGGTGTATAGCATAAATATAAAAACTTTAGTTATAGCAGTTATAGCGAAAACTTTGAAGCTGAAATTGTTTTTAATAAGATATATTATAATAGAAATAACGAAAATTAAATCGAGACTCACCTATCCATTTTTAATCAAGACTTGCGTCAAGCACTTGTATAAATGTTTACGGTATTCAGTCCCCGCAGTCAAGTCAACTATCGTATTGAATCTTTAAATCTAAATATCTTAATCGTGTGTCCAAGTGTCAACGAACTTCATTGAATTGCTTTTTCGCAATCGCAATTCGTATTTTATTTCAAGACACATGTCACACAAGTTGGCGGTCGGCAATCACCACATGGAGTACGGTAGTATGATAATTGGTAATGATAAGTGATAGGTACCATGATCATAGATATACATGGATAGGGCATTATTTAGGTTAGGGGCTGGGACAGATTTCCCGATTTTGATAACAGCAAAAAATCATCAAAATCAAATTTCGGTAGGCCAATTATGTCGACCTTAGAAAAATAAATTTCCTGCGTGAAAAAAAAAAAAAAAGATCTGTATTCTTGCTCCATAGTTCATTGTCTCGTATTATAATAATATAATGCAATAAACTAATAACTAATTGTAATAACTTATAAGTTATAATCAGAGCCGGACCAAAGGTCTGGCAAAGTGGGCGCAAAATATCGAGTAGGAATGGGGGTAAATTTATCTGGCGATGTACTTAATGTACATAAGAGTGGTTCCTACTTTTTTATACTTTTACAAATTCATGAAAACATAAGACTAAGGTACAATAGTAGTTGGCACTCGTCAGTCAGTTATATAACCCTTTTTTTTACACAACGAAACATTTTGGAGAAATCGAAAAATCTCATTCCGTTTAATCCAGGTAATTATTGACCAACCACCTATGTCTATAATATTACAAATAATGAAACATAAAAGTTAGAAATTGTTTACTTATTAGGTAGATTAAAAACATTTCATTGTTTTCTAAGATACGTTAAATTGTTTTAAATTATATATTGTTACAAGATAAAAAAAAATTTATCGACAAAAAAATGATGATTTGTGCAATGCATGAACATAAAATTTCTGCAATTATTAATATATATATGTTTACATTACAAATAATTAAATGCAATAAGCAAAATGTATATTGTAATATAAAATTATTAATATAAGTATTAAAGTAAATATATTACTAATTAAAAAAAAAAAATATAATGTGTACAAAGAGCTTGCAAAATTAGGTTTAAAAAATATAAGGCTAATATAACTCCAATTAATTAAAATTAATAGTATCAGCTTCAAAGCAATATTGAAATATACCTATAATGAACATAGCTTATGATAAACCTTGTGCATATTGCTTGAACCCTCGCCCTCCCATAAAAAATAAAGAACAGTCTATTCAATTAAATTAGGAACACAATTTTAAAATATTAAAGGCCCAATGAAAATCATAAATTAATAATAAGAAAAAATGAAATAAATTAATCACAATACAAAATGCTTTTGTTTTATCTGTGCACATACAAAATCAGATTTACTGAGTTCCAACTATTTCTTTGTCAATATCTTTGGCTTCTCCGAGAATTTGTAAGAGCAGTTCATGCACAGGCTCAAATATTTTACGGTAACATGTGTCAGTTGGATGTAGGTAATCAAGCATATCTTGAGCACTCAGCGTATCATCTGATTGCAACAGGCCTGTATTGACAGTAATCACTTCTAACCGAGAAATTGATTTAACTTTTTCATGTATAATTTCATTAACTTTAGAGTTCCGTACACGTAATTGATTTGGCCTGGCTCCACGAGGTAATAAATCCTAGAAACATAAAATTAATATAAAAAATATTTTATTCTAAACTAATAACTCAAAAATAAAAATGTCCATCTTAAGGTTATTTATTCATTAACGATCAATCAATTGATCTAAAATATTTTTAAGTTTAAATAGAGCAAGGAAGCTTCTGGTTTCCCCAAGAAATGAAAAAATGTATCAATAATTGGCAAAATATAACAAATACTTTGAACAATTGTATTCGAATGAAATCATCATTTAAACTTATTGATTCATTGTTGCTTTAAAATAATAAAAAAAATTGTTTAAACACTATATTGTTACATATAAACAAACTGAATATAGAGTTTGCAACGGCAATAACTTATACACAATTTGATAAATAAAGCAATAATTGATATACAGTTTGGATGTATCTTAAAATAAAATATAAATTACATCACAAAATAATTACCAACAAAATGATGTAGCACTCAGGTAGCTTGGACCTTATTTCTTTGATTATGGTTAAAATACCTTCTGATATTTCATCAGGGGTATTACCAAAATTGTTTGTACCAACATGAAGAACACAAGCCTAAATAATAATATTATTCTAATTATATAATAAATAAGGAAAATTAATACAAATACATTGACAAAGATGTACATTATTTGATACAAATATATTATAGAATATTTCAACTTTTGAACATTCTATAATAAATTGTTAAGTGCACAAGATGATATATACTTGTATATTTAAATTATATTATTATGAAAGTAATAAGTGGTTCTTATACTGTGATCCACAACACACATGCCGAGAGACCATGGCGCTATTGATACTAAATTATTAATTATGATAACAATATAAAAAATGCTATAGTTGTTAAAGAAAAGAATATTGGCAAGGGGGTCCAAAATTTCTAAGACTTTCATCAGGGGTCCATGTTCTAGGCAGGCAAGAGGTAGATGGGTAGGGTAAACGTTGTGTTATTCTGCGGGCCGAAGGCCAGCTTTTTTGGGTGGTTAGAGGCCCTGACCTATATATAACTATATTATGTTGGAGAATAATTGATATGGGAATGGTTAGCAGTATAGTGATAAACAGTTTCTACACATTCCCGGTTTTCGAACGGTAAAAAAAAGTGGGCCATGTTCTGCAAAAGTTTAAAAACCACTATTGTAAACATTTATGGATTCTTGCTATGACCAAATAAAATAATAGCTAATGATAAATAAGCTATTGGTAGCTTTAAAAATGTATTTAATAAAATAAAAACCAATTCAATGATAGAGGAATAATAAATAAGATTCATCACAGAACTAGTATCAACGATTAATCTCTCTAAAATAAAATTATTTGACTGATACTTAATTTCTATTTTAAACGGGAAATTGTCCTTAGTAACTACTAAGTATTAATATTCCATGACTATTAAATATTAGTAATTACTACCCTATTATTTGTTAGACAATATCAAAACCATTAAATTATATAAATTTAAAAACGCCCCATAGAAAATGAATTATAAAGTAATATACGTAATAATTTATGATATTTTATTGCTCGATATCATGTATACTGTATAGACTGTAATTGTCAAGTTATAATAATTGATACTGAGATGCTCTAATTAAAAAAAAAAAAAATTATGATAATATTGTTAGCAGTAATAGCATTAAGACGGGGTGCTGATAACATTTTACCTAAAATCTTAATTTGAAGAATATATTCAGGCATACAGCAATGTGAACTGTGATGGTATAGCTTTCTGAATGTATTGTTTGCCAACAATAGCTCAAATTAATTAAAAAATATAAAATTGTTCATTAATGAAAAGTTTTTTTTTTTTTTTGTTGTGCTAGGCAAGGGGGTCTCTTGGCCATTTTCTTTTTAACCTTCTAGGAGAGTTGCTGGGGATGGTTAAAGAGGACATGTGAGGAATAAGAGGGTTTTGGTTTAGGTGTAGTTAGGAGTGAAACTTTTTGTAGTGACGAGTCGCTAATTCATTGACAGTTGAGATTTGTAGATCATTATGTAGTGCGTTATTAGTCATATACCAGGGAACCAAAAGCTATATAATATAATATGTAGGAACATACCTATATAAATGAAAAATATACATATATATTAACATTTTGAAATTACTTAAAACTTACCTTTGGTTTAATATTATCAAGAATGCCACTTTGGATTCTCCATAATACTCCTTGGGTTAGATCACCACCAATACCAAAATTTAAACAATGGAGAGGTTCAAATAAGTCATTCCATATAGGACTTGACTGTAACTTCTGTATAATTGAGTCTCCAATCATAATGACATCAGGTTCACGTTCTTTCGCTTCGGATACATGTCGTTCATGCTAATAAATGTGTCAAATAGTATAAGTATTACAAAATATTCAAAATTACAAATTATATACCTGGCTCATCCATCTGTTATCTCCTTGTATATCAATGGGAACCTCAGGAATTATACAAGGATTCATTTCAATTCTAAATTAAATATGAAATATAACTTATTTCAAATAAAATAAAAATGTAGATTGCGATGGTAAATTATCAAATATTTCTATGAGTAATGATTCAAAATTAAGTAGTATAATCTGGGTTGTCGGATGTGACCTACAAGATGCAAACAATACAAACACCAAAATTCTTGTGAACGGTGTACAACTACAACAGTTGTGTACTTGTAGTTTGTACTAATGTATAGATATTAGATACTAAATCAGTTTTGTTGAATACTTGAATGTTGATAAAATCATGTAAAAAAAAAATATTTTATTTCATATTATCAGTTCAGTGATTTTAGTGGCTCAAACCACGGATATAAAATATTGATAATAATATTATATTACGAGAATTAAATTAATTAGATTAAATTTTAACTATTCTGTGGTAATATCATTGGATAATGAGTATAGACCATGGAAGGGTAGTGTCTATGCCCTATGGCCATAAATCTTAGGTCATAACATAATATAAGACCAGCACCTTTTGTTCCAAATAATTTGAGATCCAAATTTTACTTTTTGTTCCACAATACATCTGTTCCGATGAACTTTTGTTCAAAAGTATATTGGAAAATATTAACAAATATTTGTTCCAATCTGGGTTGTCAATAGATAATGATATCGATCCATGATTACAACTACGCGCATCGAGCTGCAGTTCGGTCTCCCCGAGATAACATTGTATGAAACTACACTTTTGTACTTTGCTAACGTTAGATATATACATGGCATAAAATAAATATTTAATGAAGCCCACTGGGGTCACAAACTTTTTATCCATAAGGGCACATATTGGAGCTACCCACCCATACTTACATCCAGTTAAAACCTGAATTCACAAAAATAGTGTGTTTGTGACACAACTGTTGAATCTGTGTAATACAGAACTCTTAATAATTTAGATTACCTATAGTTAAATAAAGTAAGTACTGGCTATTGACAAACAATGTAAGCATTTGTACTCCTTTGTATACCAATGACAATACAATGCTGTTATATGAACACATGATTCAAATTATATACATTTCTCATAATATTAAGATGCAACAATTAATGTTTAATACGGTTTAATGCTTTTAAAATTATATGTTAAACAACAATTATTTGTAATATTTTTTGTCTTAATGGCAGTTTCAAAAACATACATACATCAATATCAGTTGTAAATTTTTTTTCTTTATAAACCATATAAAATTTAGAAATAATATTTACATGTTTAATCTTATATATACATATATATAATATATATATATATTATGTATAAGGTCTTTAATGTACATTAGTTACACAATATAGACACAGTAATGCATAGATAATAATGACACTGTGATTTTATATATCTACTCAAAAAAAATTATATAGCTGAAATAAAAAATATATATATAGGAACTCATTAAGGCTCGCCATAAAGCACTATAAGCAAAAAAAAACATTCAATTATACATTAAATAAACAAAATACAACCTTAAAATGCATGAAACAAAAAATATTTCCATCTCCTAAAGTTAAGTTTTAATAAAACAATATTAAATTCAAAAAAATACAACATTTGTTTGTTTATTTTAAATACTTTATTTTTAATGCTTATTCATTTATTTATTTGTGGGAAGATAATGTAATAAAACTGAAACATTATTGGTTGCATGTATTTTATTAAAAACAATTATTGACTCTAATATAATAATTATCAATGTGATTAATATTTCTATTTCTATTATTATTATTACTTGTTTAAAAATAGAATAAAACAATTTATGTATACTTTTTAATATGTGGATTGTGGGCGTGTGACTGTCTCGTGGTGGGATGTTAAAAAATATACAAGGTAGAAAATATGTTAAATGGCTAAGTACACTGATGAATCTTACTACAGCTCTGAGATTATTACTTAATGACTATACTCCATAGATCTTATTATACGCATACACAATGAACATAACCACCGTGTTTGATGAATCAGTACAACTTTCAATTTCATACAGATTTAGTTCTGAATATTGTACTTTATAGTCAATACTCAATTGTTCAATTTAACTAGTGTATTTATGAACAAAACATCTCTATTGAGTAGTCCATGTTAGTCACAGTTATTCTAGTTTATCTGGAAGCTCTCCTTTGCAGACTCTAATCAAAAAACAAAAATCACATACAAATTATAAATGTAAGCTTAAACATTGTTAAATTAAATATGAGTGTAAAATAACCATCACCAATGTAGTATTATTTATTTATTTATTATGATAACACCTTAGAAAGCAAACCAATAAAATATAGATAACTTATGCATTAAAATATACATGGAGAATAGTCTTATTCATTTGAAGATAGATCAATATTAACTTCTATTCAATTATCTGATTTAACAATGGATAAATCTACCATTTCAAATGAACTTTCATGGAATGATATATATATAATTCATTTTCTTTAGACACTTCAGAAAATAAAAATAAACAGCATACAATTTTTTTCATAGAATAGCCTTTTGCCCATAAAAAAAAAGAAAGGTTAGTTCTAGTTTACATAACAGTAAAATATAACATAAAAATTATCTTTTTAATGATTGTGGTTTTGCTTAATATATTTTAACTAGTAAATTAAATCAAGATTGTTTAGGGGTAATTAATTTAAAATATTTAGAAATGTATGTAGAATTGTGATATATTATTAAACCTTACTATGAAATTACATTACTTTCATTCCAGAGATTCTTTGGTATTATACGACAAGTTTCAGGGCCTAATGACCATCCATCAACTCCGACTTTCTTGCAACTATACCATATACTTTCAATGTATCCAATTATCTAACCACTTTCAATGTGGAATTGCAGTAGGTTGGAAGGTAGCAAATGTTTGACACCTGAAAAGAAGAAATCATTAAAATATATAGTTACTTATTTTTATTTATAGAAAATGTCCTAGTTTTTACCATAAGTGTTTTAAAAGGTATAATTAACAATCCAAATGGTACAAATGAGACTGGAAAAAGTTAGAAATCTAGAAAAAACAATTAATGACATTGTTGAAGAGTGTAATTGGACTCTATAAGACATTTTTAAGGAGCATACCAATAGTAATTTAGATTCAACAGTATTTTAATAATATTACATGTTTTTAAATTATTAACGTCAGTATTGTTTTGATATGTGTAATAGGTATATAATAACAAAGAGACAATTAAAACATACTAATGCCAGGATGCATAAAAAAAATTATTAATTTAAAGGGCCCAATAAAATTTAAATGGACCAATCATGGGCCGTTAAACCATGTTTAAGGGATCATTAGCTCACTATTGATTCGTTAAATTTTTAGTGATTGTTCATGCAACCCGGCATAAACATGATGTTTGTAAATCCAGTGTGCAAAATTCTAAAGGTAAATCATCTTATCCAGCAGTAAATTCAGTCAGTTTGAAAACTAGAGGATTCTCAACTCACGTAAATCAAAATTTGGTCCAAAATATTCAAGCATTGAAAGTATGTTTTCTGAAATATGCAAGCTCAGCAAATCCATTTGATGACACATTTGAAGAATTCTTCTGAGCTGAGAATTTAAAGTTGTGTTTTCCATGTGTAGATCATAAAACTGAAGTTTTAACTGATAAATGTGTAATGTACATTGTGATGAAAATGAGGTAGTATAAGTATACTTGGCTGAAAAGTCAAGAGACAAAAAAAAAATTAAAAAACAAAGAAATTGCCAAATTAATAGTAACATAAGTAGAATAATAATTATATATAAATTATAAAATAAAACCTACAGGCCTTTAAAAATATATTCATTCTTATGTTTTTTGGCAATAGTGGCAATGCTATCAACATAATAATATGGAGAATGTCATAAGCAACACTCTATTATGTGTATATACTGCACAATAATTCTGTCAACCATAATGAATTCACATATAAAGTTGTTGAAATAGTCATAGTGACATGTGTCACAAATTGTTCAAAATAAAGCACTCACCAAAATCAGTATAATGGCGTTTGTTATAACTCGAATGCTGGACTTTTAACATTGTCATGAAAATATGAAATGCTGAAACTCTAGACAACATTTTATTAAAATAAAAAAACACCACTATGTGCAAGCTACCAAACTCGGGTACAAGATAAAAAAATTTAAATAGAAATGTAGTGTGTACAATTTTGTTTAGTGAAAAAAGAACGAGAATTAAAAAAACACATAATAAATATGGGTATTTAAGATATTAATAAATATCATTTATTGTATAGATATGCATACAACAGTTAGAATATTCACAGATTTTATAAAATCTTCACATCAGCTGATAATTTTAAGATTTTTATCAAATTAAAACACTATATTGATTTAGTTATCATTTTGACTTCATGTCAACAAATTACTGTTAAACACTGAACAGTGTCAGACTGTCAGAGTATCTGCTACTATGAAACTTTCCGTCTTGTGAGTCGCGATATGTGAATTCAATCGACTGTCGTTAATTTATTTTATTTAATTACTGTACTAAAATTTAAAAATATTTTTCTTCACTTTTAAAAAACAAATCATTCATTATTCAATAAAAGACAAATGTTGAATTTGGCAGTCAAATAATTAACAATTTATAATCATGTCAATAAGTGAACTCCCTTGTGTTTACATATATAGTTGTTGTGATGATGATCCGTTGAAAACAATTAAATGTAAGCCAGCATTTGTACTCATTATTATTAAGTGAATAAAGTACATTCAAATAAAATATTAAACACAAATACACAATTAGATTAATTGAGTCCACAATTAATTTTTGATGTACTATTATATTAAAATATATGTATAAGCATCATAGAAATAACCAAGTACCTATGGTCACATAGATTTGATGCGCATGACGCTAAAATCACGTTCGCAACAAGTGCATTGAAGAGAACATCATGTTCGAAGCCGACGTCACTTTACACACAAAATACCATAGTATTCTATGACCTATGTGATCATACCTAGTTATTTCTTTGATGTATGTAGGTAGATTTATAGCTGGCTCGGTGCCTCTCACATTCAAAATGTCAACGCTTTTGCCCAAGGCCTACTTTGACTGGACACATAAAATATCTCATTGAAACTTTAATTGAGCAGATCCTACTGCCTTATAGATAGGTACATTGTTGTGGTTGTTACATACTGTAGTATAACCAATCTATGTATTCTAAAATCAACAACCAATTATTTGTCATAATTATATATTAGTATAATATAACTACTTAGGTTAAACATGCCTTTATTTCTTCAAAAAAAATTGCTCAAAATTAGCAATGGCTTACTATGTGAAAGAGTATTTGAATAGTAAAGAATAAACAAATCAAGTTCCTTTTTTTACATACAACTAAAAATTGTGTCTCGACATACTAGCATAAGTTATTTTGTTCAACACCTTTATTAATAAAATAAAATAAATTTTGTATTTCATTAATTATGTGTAAAGAGCACCTAACCATGCATTATGATTTTTACAGTAATGAGGAATGAAGAAAATATTGAAATTTGTAACAATGAAGGAAATATTTTATCGAACCGTTGGACAATTGACTGCAAATATTACACCGCTGATATAAATTTGTGTACCTCCATCAGTTTAAATGAACTCTCTGATCAATTTATACACAACATAAATGCTATAATTATTCTTTTCAGCATTGATAAAGTAAATATTTGAATATAATGAACTGTAATAAATAATATTTATTATTTTGAGTGTTTGATTGTTCTAGAGCAATATTATAGAAACTATGAATAAATGCTTACCTTTAGTTAAGAGAAGTCAAGCTGAGGTTTTGATACTGTTGAGTGAAAAAAACATAGATGGTGATTCGTCCAATAATGCTACTAACAGTAAGAATTTATTTTATCATAATAAAAAAAGAATTCCTATGTTTATCACAATTGTCTCTAATATTTATTAAAGTATTTGAATGGTGCCAAAAACACCATTTTGAATTAATTGTGCTGGAAGAAATTGCTGATGAAATGGATACAACTGGAATTGAACGTGTTAAACAAGCCCTTTATGCACATCATTGGCCAAATCTTAAAGCCAAATGTATATAACTTAAGATTAACTTAACTTAATTATTATTTACATATATCTTATTACGTTAAGGTCAAATAACAAATCCTAGTACAAAGTCAATAATCGAAGATAGTGTAATAAACTCGCAATTAAGTGGCGGATTATCGGATTTAAAAATGGATACAGAGCAAGAAGCTGAGTTGGATAGCGATTTATTTAGTAACTATAATAGTCTATATAAAATATAAAATTTGATTTACTATACATTTTCACTGTATTTAGCTGAGATGTTTGAAGGAGATTTTAATTTTTTCAAGACTATTGACAAGGTAAGAAAGTTAAAAGAACAAATTTCTGCAATGCCCGATGAAGAAAGAAAAGATGCTGCTGAAAAGACATTAACAGAATGTTGGAAAGCATTTTTTGGAGATGATGTAGACCTATAAGTATTAATTATTACAATAGTGAAATTCAAAGTATTATGAAATCAATTAAATATATTCCATGTACATTATAGCATCATAAAAATTATCAATATAATTTATTTGTTTAATCTACAAATTGGGTTATCTTGTACCATTTGTAAATTAACCCTAGGTCCAACCAGATCTCTAATATTGTTAATGCCATATTTAATCATAGTTGGTCTTTCTAATGATAATCCCCAAGCTATAACATTTACTTTTTCTAGTAATCCCATTGGTAACAGCATTTCAGGACAAAACATTCCAGAGTTGCCAATTTCAATCCATTTTTTTAGTCCTTGATGATAGCAAAATATTTCCATACTAGGTTCAGTGTATGGATTGTAAGCAGGTTTAAATTTGATTTCAGTCATTCCTAATCGTTCAAAAAATGTGTGAAGAACTCCAATTAAATCTCCCAAGGTTAAATTGTAATCAGCTATAACTCCTTCTACTTGTTGAAACTCTGCCAAATGAGTAGCATCCAAAGTCTCATTTCGGAATACTCTGTCGATACTAAAGTACTTAGTCGGTTTAAAATCTTTAGCTAACCCATATAACATACGAGCACTTACAGCCGTAGTATGAGTTCTCAAGACATTTTTCTTAGCTTTGTTCAACGACCAATCATAGCCATATCCTTGAGAACCATAGCCACCTTTAGAATGTACTGTTTTAACCTTGTTAAAATATTCTTGAGGGAAGTTTTCACTAGTTTGAGGGTTGTCCAAAAAAAAAGTATCATGCGAGTCTCTTGCTGGATGTTGTTGAGGTTGGAATAATGCATCAAAATTCCAAAACGAGCTTTCAACAAAATTATTAGTTGGCATTTCAGTAGAACCCATTTCAAGAAATATTTGACGAAAGTCTGAACAAACTTTCAATAAAGGATGTAAGCAACCAGCCAACTACGGTTGGCCTAAAGCTTCAAAATTGTAAGGCTTGAATGGATTTGATTTTCATGAACCATATAATATCATTTCTGTAGTTAGTTCAGTTTCTAGTTTTACAATAGATGTTGTAAATTCTGGACCCTTACCTGCAAAATGTAATACAATTAATCAATATAATAAAAAGCAATGAATTAAAATTAAACTACCTAATTTAAAACTTTTTATAACTACTTCACGAATAAGTTTTCATTTTTTATAATCCAATTTATTAGATTCAGAAATTTGATCATTAGCTGATTTCAGTTCCATCAAATCTGCTTTAACCTTATCAACGACTGAATCAACTTTTTTCATCACTTTGTTTGCTGCTCTATCGATGACTATCCAACCCTTTGACATTGCCTGGCTGAATCCAATTTTTGCATTTGGTATTGACATTAATTCCTTTTGATGTATCTCATCAGACGGAACAGCGTTATATAGGTTTACCTCATAACTACCATTTAATAAAACTGATTCTCCTTCATCAGTAAGTTCCCAGTATTTGCTTGTTACTGGGTCAGCAGTAACAATATTTCCTAATGCCAATATGCTATTAACGACCCCAATTATTTTTTGATGGTCGATAGTGTTTTCTTTACTTAGATCCCATGTGCTTATAGAACCTTTAATATCCAATAGATTTAATAATTGCCCTGAATCCATAGTTAATGAGCGTTAAAAAATTAGGAATTTATAAATATAATTGGAGTAATTACAACACAACAATAGGTACGACGAAGTAAACAATATAAATTGCATTATTATATTTGTATCAATTTTAGTAAACTATTATTTTAAAACTATCACAACATTCACAACTCAGTAACCCGTATTTTACAATTTTTTTTTATTTATTTAACTTTAAAATGTTTCAGCACACTGGGTGCTATTACAAGTATTATTTTTTAACAAATATTATATTTTACAATTTATGTTTCAACAATATTATACATATATCATATAATAATCAAATAGAAAAAATAGAAAATATATAATTATTAATAATAATTAAAAATAATTTTTTTTAAAAATCAATTATTAATAATAATTAAAAATAATTTTTTTTAAAAATCACATAAAAATCAAATATTAATAATATAAAATTGAAAAATATATAATTATAAGTAATAATTAACAATCATTTAAAAAAAATTAAAAAAATCATATAAAAATCAAATAGAAAAAAATAGAAAAATCTATAATTATTAACATTACGTAAATAATACGTTCCCACATAATTTATGTACAGATTTATTATTTATATATATTATATTTAGATACGTATATATTTTTTACATAATATTAAAATAAATGATTTAATAATTAATAGTGATCACTAGTTCGTAGTTAAAATAAATTTAATTAAAATAAATGAATAAAAAATAATTACTTTAAAAAAATGTAGGTTTTAAAAATTTTTTTTTGGTCTTAAAATTTGGTTTGATAATGTTTAGATGCAGCTTTGACGAATTGCATAATGGTAATATTGTTTGCTTTAAATGACGAAATGATGGTGTTTAAATATTTTTGGCGTGTCTTTGATTGTGAATTTCTATGGTTATTAGGTTCATTAATTCTGTTTAATTTAATGTAAGTGAATGATTGAATATCTAAAAGAGCTTTTGTAAAGTAATGTATATTTGGATGTGTGTTAGCAAAGGACTGAGCTAAATGTGAGTGAAAAGACTCGCATGCATTCGTAGTTAAATTCAATTCAGCGCTACATTGAGCCCAAATATTTGGTTAGGTATTTTATCGAATGCATTCGTTTCGCGATATCGCTTCATCATATTATCTGCGGTCGTTAAGATGAAGTTTAGTTAAGTCGGTCGAAAGTTGATAGCTATAGCTATACTAAAAATAGTTTTAATCTGTGGATTTTACCATCGGTGGAGTTTACGTGTTTTCGGGTAAAAAAATACGTATCGGTGGAATTTACATTTTTTTTTCAGGTAAAAAAAATGTATCGGTGGAATTTACATGTTATAAATCCAACCCTAAAATAGACTACCTGTAAATCGGTGGAGTTTACAATCGCCCATAATTACCTTATTGCTTTATAGTTTGTGATAATACTAGATGATCCCTTGCACTTTGTTGCCCATTACCACTCAATGCAACGTAAGGCATTAAATTATGTACATTATTGACATTAAATGAAAACTGTAGATACTAACATCCAAAGGGTCCTTACTCCTTTTTGAGTTATGCAAGTACATACGGAAAAGAGGTATATTAAGCGTATATTTACACGTGTTTATTTATTTTTGTCGTTTTCAACACCTTAAAATCAAATTTTGAAAAATCCTTTCTAATGTAAGGTAAAGGTATAATATTAATCTATCCTCAAAATGACAAGTCGATAACTCTAATAGACTCAGCTCTGCGTTGATAATAAATCAGGCCCACACTTTCCTTTACATAATAGTTAATAGACTATATTCAGTGGCGGTATGGGTACCCCGTGTAAAAGTATAATAGACCTTGATAGACTTATAAAGTCATTTTCTATCAAAAAACCATAATTTATACTTAACCCACAAGCAGATCTTTAACTATAGAATGTATATCTGTGAAACCACCCCCATTTCTTAATCCTAGCTACGTCACTGATTATGGTGTTGTACGTTTTGTGCTCGAATCGTGTAGGTAAAAATATGTATCAGACAAAGAAAATAAATAATAGAATGATATTATATTGTATATGATATTAATGTATGATGTCCCATCATCATATTAAATAATATTTAAGCCATGTCCCATCCCTAATAATATATTATATTCATAAACCTTAAACCTACTAGTTTAATACTTAGGTCTTTACGAATATATTATTTATTATTATGTTTTTTTTTTATCTACATTAGAGTAAAAATCACGGCTAAAGATACTCATATCTATAGCCGCGGTATAAACATAGAATAATAATTGTTTCACGGTATAAGGTCTAGACCACAGAATAACCCTTTTTATATTATAGCCAGTCCGTGGACAAAACCCAAGTGGATTCACCTTGGACCAAACATAAGATTATCATTTATCATTGTTTTTGTTATCTGTAACAAATTTACATTTACTAGATTACGACTTACAGAACAAATCAACATGAACAATTGAACAAGTAACGCTTTCAACTGACGACTAATGGCTGTAAAAGTATAAAATAATAAAAATACATTTAATTCACATTTTGCATATTATTTTCTCATAATCGGATATTTATTTATAGCCTTTAGAAACATATTAATGTCACGTACTCATATCTAATTTAATTATTTTAACCTACTTGTAAAGCGTCATTATTCAACAATCACAATTTATGATACGTTATTCCTCTCAACTTTAACATAGTACAAAATACAAATCAACTTATTTTTACTTATTACGAACTATATAGATTATATTCCAAAATTAATTATTGATATAAATAACAGTTGAGTGATAATTGGTATTGCATAATATTTGTTCATAGAGTTCTGTTGTGTAAATTTTAACACTAATTCATACTTTTTGTAATAGACAAATGTGTCGAATAATTTGTAAATGCATAGATAACAAATTTAAAATATTTCTTTCATGACTGAAGTAAATGACTCTGAGGCTTCTTCAATATACAGGTTGGATATATAATTTATTGCCATAGATATTTATAACATAAAAAATATATTTGGAGAATATAATTATATAAGCCATAATATTTCTTTATAACCATTTTAGAGGGTGTTCTTTTTGGAGCTGGTTTCCTTGGAGCTCAATGTCGTGGAAATGCTTACAAGAAGCCGAGCGGAAATTATTTGCATGTACTTTACATCTACCTTTATATTATTCTTGTTTTATATTTAAATGTTGACAATTATTTTTAGATGTTCAATCTCCATATCGTACAAGATATGTCAACCTAGGCCCAGTTGTTGAACAAGAAGATAAAATATGGACATTAGAAGTTAACACTGAAAAACGTGAAACCCCTGTAGTTTTATTGCATGGTTTTGGAGCTGGTATTGGGCTTTGGTGTATGAATGTTGACAAAATATCAAATAATTGTAGACCTGTATATGCCATGGATCTATTGGGCTTTGGTCGTAGTTCTAGGCCAAAATTTAGTACAGATCCTGAACAAGTGGAGCATCAATTTGTAAATGCCATTGAAAAATGGAGAACAGAAATTAAACTTGAAAAATTTATTCTTCTTGGCCATAGTTTTGGAGGATATTTAGCTACTGCTTATTCTATACAACACCCCGAAAGGTATAACCAGTAATAAGCTAGTTCAATATAAAGTTTTTAAAATATTTTATGTAGAGTTCACCATTTAATACTTGCTGATCCTTGGGGATTTCCCGAAGAAGACAAAAATATTAAGAACAAAATTCCTTGGTGGGCTAAAGGACTATTTTATGCTCTTAAATCATTAAATCCACTGTGGCCTGTGAGATTTGCTGGTCCTTATGGTAAATTCAACAAGTTTTTTTTTAGTAAACAGGTTTTATAATAATTTAAAAATGCCGTGTACTTGTTGATTTATAGGTCAATGGTTAGTGACAAATTTGAGATCTGATATACTGAAGAAGTTTGAACCAGTTCTTGGAGAACAATCAAGTGTGATTGGGGAATATATATTTCAATGTAATTCTCAACGTGCAACGTGAGTTTATTATTTCAGAATATTAATTAGTAAATTGTTTACTATTAATTTTCTATTAAAAACATAAATGTAATTTAGCTGTAAAAGTTATACGTAGTCTCATAAAATCTAAGTTGATAGAAGGATTTTTAAAATTGGCTGAATTTTTCTTTAGTTGCATACTTAAGATCTAAGAGGATATTACACAATATAAAGTTTGTTATCTATACCTCATCTAAAGTGATCGCACTGTTATGGCACTATACAAATTAAAGAAAAAATAATTTAAAAATTATCTTTAGCCTTTACATTGAAGTTTGTACTAAATACTTTTCTTTAAATGATTAGTGGCAAGAAAAGATTTTAGTAAGTATAACTATTAATTTATTTTTTTCTTGAAATAAGCAGTATGCTCTACTAATTATATTTAATATTTGTGCACAATATATCCTGTCCGCCTAACATTAAACACAATATCTTGAAGTTATAATACTGAATAAATGCTTTTTTCTGACAGTTTATGTCATATAGTTTCTTTAGATGAAAATCATTTACACTCTTAAAAAGACTATATATGATGTGTTGTCAGCTCTAAAGCATATCTACAAACCGAATTCTTACGATTGTTACTCCATACCATATTTAAAAATGATTGGATTTGTGAAAATATTAGCTATGAGCAATAACTATTAAGTTATTTTATATTGCAATATTAGGTATATTTTTTTTGAGACAGAGAATATGGACTAAATGTATTAATTATGTCTATTGCAAACTTAGATAATTATTATGTCTAGAGACATCGAATAATTAATGTTAAAAAATCACTTTATAACTTATAATCATGTATAAAGGTTTGTATTCGATTGTTTTTAGGGGCGAAAGTGCTTTTACTTCATTAGTTACTGGTTTTGGTTGGGCTAAGAACCCAATGATTAAGCGTATACATAATTTAGATAAAAGAGTGCCCATTACATTTATTTATGGACAAAACACTTGGATGGATCAAAGTATTGGACAGAAAATTAAATTAGAAAGAGAAAATAATTTTGTTCGTGTTGAGGTAATACATCTTAATTAACTATCAATAATTAATATAGGTACCTTATGAACAATAATTTATATTGTTTTTAACATATTATAGACTATACCCAATGCAGGTCATCATGTTTTTGCTGACCAATTTGAAGTATTTAATAATCTAGTTGATAAAATATGCAAAGAAAATGTGATTGAAATTGAAGAATAGTGAAACCAAGTTACAACACAATTGAGATATATGATTTGTATTTATATTATACGTTACATTACTTATTTACATTAACATAAAATATTATATAATTTTATTTAAGTCTATATCATCATCATCATCTGACTCCAATGGTTTTACTTGACTCATTAACAAGAATTTATCAATTTTATCTGTGGAATCTTCATCCATGTATGTTGTATAAGGTTCCAATGTTCCACTTTTTCTTTTTGTCATACGTTCTGTTATAGTATCCAATCGACCCTTCAGTTTTAGTAGTTTCCAATGGTATGATGACATATCTTCTGATGGGTGGAGACACTAAAGAATTGAAAAATAATGAAAATCAGTTTATAACGAGAAATGCCTTTATTTCAACTAAATAATGGTGCCTGGAATGATGTGTGGGTAATGGTATAGAACAATAGGCATTGTGCCACAGTCCGCAGATTATGTGAAATATATTGACATATAATACATTATATTTCATATAATCTGTATTGGTACTGTAAGTAACAAATGCATTTTGATTAAATAAATCCTTAGGTATGTGTATTTTATTTATTGATTTATGTATTAAATTCCTTACTTCGTCAGATTCCATTATGGAAACTTTATCAGCTATACATTTTTCTGGTTGAATATTGTTTGTTAATGCAGTCATAACTAATTAAATTAACTACTTTATATTGTGTATGTTCTAATGGTATATAGTATTGTATTTGTAGTTATATACTGCACTATTTCCTATATTGTAAACAATGTTAACTTAGTTTAAGAGGTTATGAATTGTCACAACCATGAGATAATATGGAGGTGATATATCACTATTCTGTGCTATCACTTAGATCCCATGCGGTCATGCGGATGAAATTTGAGATCATATTATCAGAAGCGTGCTATCTAAATTCTAAGGTTAAAATCGAAAATATCCCTCTACCCGTTATTCAACATATTCTAGATACATACGACAACCATGGACTTTTTTTAAACTGGACATATTTAACAGTATTGAGTGTAATATGTTGTTTAACAAACACTGAACCACTGAATAAGTGAAATTTTGTCTTTTTTCATGACAACTAAAAATTTAGTTGAGTGATAACAGCATTACCAGTGGCGTAACAACACCTCACAGTGATGTAGGCCTTTTTGACGAAATATACAGTAATGTACCGTGTCTGATATGGTTTTTTTCGGTAGGGGCCTACAATATTTTAGGGTTAAGGTACAATTAGGTACTATCTGTTAAAATTTTTTATGTTTCGGGGGGGGGGGAATTAAGCCCTAAAACCCCTACTACTGGCTACGCCATTGCACTATATAACAGTCATCAGCTATATGGTGAAATAAATAATTCATTTTTGATTAAACCATCAAAGGCTGAACTGCGATCGTAAAGGTTGCTATTTTAACCCGTGTAGTATCTAAGTATTCCTTATTCACGTTTTTGGAAAATATATGTAATATTTATATATTTTTTTTTGTAAGACATTATAAATTGCACAGATAAGACTCGTACAATTACACATTTACACGTCAGTCGTCAAGACGTTCTTGAAATCATTGTTATTTGAAATTATGGCAAACAACTCTTCAATGGATAGTAACAACTGACGAGTTCCTAAAGTCTGGAAAATATATTATCCACCCTCACGGATAAATATATTAATCCGTGTCCACCCTGTATGGTTCTATCTCTTATCACTTTTCATATCCATCAAATTATGGCGCCAACATCAATAATATTGACTGTTGATAATACAATTATATTTTACCTCTGATAGGAGTAAAATTGGACTGAATGCCGAATAACGGATACTTAATACCTATGTATAAATAATTTAGGTCTATGCTTATAGCTCAATACTTGTTTCAATATCTTTTGTGTATCATCCATCGAGTATCCAAGTTAGTAGTTGTTACTTCATTACTTGTTACCTACTAGTTTTTATAAGTTCAAAGTTGTAGTTTTAAATTTATAGATATTCTATAGTTTAGTCACAGTTTTACAATACTAGAAGTCCAGTTATTCTTATTAATGTTATTTATTGTTAATTTATTTTGAATGGTAAGTTTTTGATTATTGGAAATTATTTTAAGATTTTTATATTGCATATATTGGTATTACAGAAATGGAAACTACTGAAGTATTGCCAATAAAATCTTTAGAAGAAGCATTATCGTGGAAGCCATTGTCTGAATCTCTTCCTGTTATACATTTGCAGGACCGTGCTAGTTATTCCATTAATGGCAGAGATTATAAATGTCATGAACGTTTCTTGACATCAAAAAGGTTGCATAATCAAGGCCTTCCAAAAACACTCATATGTCATGACATGCAAGGGGGTTATTTAAATGACAGATTTGTAAATGGAACAAAATCTAGTAACGAGTATACATTTTATAATTGGTCTGTTATAGATACATTTGTGTATTTTAGCCATCATTTTATCACTATACCACCAATTGGTTGGATAAATGCTGCTCATAAACACGGTGTTAAAGTTCTTGGAACATTAATTACAGAATGGACTGATGGAAACACTTTATGGTTACAAGTATTTAGTAATTTAGAAAAACGAGACAACTTAGTAGATAAGTTAGTGGAAATATGTAAATATTATAAATTTGATGGTTACCTTTTTAATGTTGAAAATGAATTAGAATCGGAAAACATTGAGAATATGATAGAAACAGTGAGCTTATTAAGAACAAAACTTAAGACTGTAATAACACATTCTGAAGTTATTTGGTATGATTCTGTAAGTATGGAAACTGGAAAACTTATTTGGCAAAATCAACTAAATAATCATAACAAATCAGCATTTCAAGCTTGTGATGGTATATTTCTCAACTATAATTGGAAAGAAGATGATCTTGTAAAATCTGTCGCTAATGCTGGAAGTAGGGTTATTGATGTGTATGTTGGAGTAGATGTATTTGGTAGGAATTGCATTGGAGGTCTTGATTCTTATAAATCATTAGAAATAATTAGAAAATATGACTTATCTGTCGCTATCTTTGCCCCTGGTTGGACCTATGAGACATTAAGTGATAAGGATAAATTCAATGCAGTGGAAGATACATTTTGGAGAAAACTTTATCCATTTTTGTATATTCACATTCCTTGTACTTTACCATTTTCTACATACTTTTGTCGAGGTTATGGATCAAAAAAAATTGAAAACTTTGTTTTGTCTTCTTTGGATGCTTGGTATGATTTATCAAAACTAAATTATCAACCGTCTGTTCCATTATGTTTACAAGATGGTAATTTTCCTTGTAATTCTTATGTTGATGGTGAAGCAATTATAGGCGGAGGTTGCTTAAGACTAAATGGTAACAATGAAAACACTTCTTACCATAGAATATTTGTTTGTCATTTTGAAGTTAAATCAACATTATACTTTGAAATAACTGTCAAAGCATTAAAGCCCTATGACTCCCACAAAATATTTTTGGGTGCATTAGATCCATATGGAATGCCATATAAAATGGAGTTTGGCATTCAGGGGGATAATAATATGTTTTTCAATAATTGTGATGACTACAGCTGTATTGTTCCTGACTCCAAAATATATAACTTGACATTAGAAAATGGATGGTTATTGCATAAATTAAAATGTGAAATGGTTGGGATAATAGTTGAGGTTGCTGTTGAAACTGAAGAACCCTTACTTATTGGACATCTGTTTATAAATGATGGCAATAGTTCATAAATAATAATGATTTTGTATATCTATCTATTAATTTATTTTTTGTTAGTGTTTGTTATGTCATATGAAAAATATTGTTCATCACTTAATTTATTTTGTTATTTTTTACTTACCTTATTGTCAAAATAAAATAAAAAATGAAATCATCAATATTAGTACTTTTAAGTTTTTACATACATACACAAAGATAAAACACTTTTAACCAATTGAAACGTTAAGATTAGATAGCTCATTTTATTATGTTAGATAAGCCTAATTGTTCAGTATTATAGGTGTCAATTTTTTGTTTTACATTAATAAAACAGTTGTGTTTTAATTATTTTCTTGTTTTTTTTTTTTTTTTTATATTAATTTGTAAAAATGAATAGCAATACTATATCGAGTACAACAACAAACTTTCTCCAAGTTCCCTCTGCTGATGAAGACGTGCCTCCATCAAGAAGGAGATTTGCCGGGATTATACCTATACGACGCCATTCAACAGGAAGTAGACATACTGGTACCTCCCATACTGGTACCTCCCCACAACCTAGAAGACCCACTAGAAAATCTACTATTATTCCACCTATTGGACTTACAACGGTAAACTTGTAGATGTACAAACATTTATTTTATTTTTAAATATTCTATGCAAATATTAATTAGGTATACCATAGCTGAAAATATTAAAGTATTTACTTTTTACGAGTTAAAATATTCCTAATCCAACATTATTTATTAATTTTAGTGTAAAGTAATAATAAAGTATGTAACACAATTTGAATTTAGATGCTATAATTTTTTAACATAAATGTAAATAATAATAACAAATAACAATGTAAATACATTACCTACTTACATTTTCATTATTCTTATGCCTGGTTACATGAACAATCACTAAAAAAATTTAACGAATCAATAGTAAGCTAATGATCCCTTAAACATAGTTTAGTGGCCCATGATTGGTCTATTTTAATTTTATTGGGCCCTTAAATTAATAATTTTTTCATGCCAAACGACATTAAACATGTAAATATTAGAAATGTCCATGACTATAGATGTCAATAGGTACTTACATGATAATTTAAAAATTGATAATTAAACCTGTATTTTGGTACCTAATTATTAAAATAATTTAACCAACTAATTTAAAAAAAATAGTAATATCCATCTGAAAGGGGTGTAGTTTCTGAACATAATGAAAATATTTTAGTTTATTATTATTTCTATTATTGTTGTTGTAACTACAGCCAAATACAATACTCAGGTATTATTTAAAATTATTTTGTACCTATGTATAAAAAAATATATAACTCTATTAAACCAATGGTTTGAACCGTTGGAGGTCTAGTGTGCAAGTTATCCACGTGTTAAAGATTATTGATCAAAAGCCTATTTAGTAGTCATTCGCATATTTAATTCAAGAATAAGTTTTTGATTAATCCATAATAGTCGATTTGAGATTTTCCCGAGTTCCGACTGTAAAAATATGGTTTGATAAGTGATGGTTCATCATAAAACCCTGGACCCTCATCTCATGGACCATTGGGCTGTTTATTATTGAGTATTATATTTTTACTTCTATACACGGTTAAAAATAAACCTTTATGTCTTTAATCGAGCTTCTACCGGTACCATTGTACCAACTATACCTACCTACATATGGTACACTATAATAATAAAATACTATTTTTAAATCTACGGTCAAGTTTCAATATAATCATGTATAATGAGGTAGGTTCACTGTTCAAGGGTTCAACTGGCCAACTTATCAGGTAGGCGTTTGTTTATATTGTGATATTTATCGAGCCAAAATTGACCTTTTTGATAATATGAAAATAATATGTTACAAACACAATGTTTTATCAATATGAAATTAACTTATATGAGAAAAAATAATTTGAGTAAGGTCAGCTGGTGCACACCAGTCAATAATACAGTGAAACAAAAAATCGCCACGACTGCAATAGTGCAATAGTGTAATAACCTGGCCGCCTGTTTCGCACTGCTTTGATGACTGATGTGCGCCCAACCTAATTTATAAAATATAATATAATTACGTATTATTTTAATTTTATCTAAAAACATGCTTAGAAAACACTTATAACTTTTTTAATTTTATAGGTATTTGGATAAATGTTATAATATATTGTAATCAAAATATTAAGATTGAGATTTTATAAATAAATCAATGCATGGTACGTATAACCGTATATCAGTATGGGTACAAGACAACTAATATTACTAAATAGTAAATACCTATTTAGAAATTATAGCCAATAAGTATTAAAAATACCAGGTATTATTAAAAAAATACTATTAATAAAAGCATAATAATATAACTCGTATTTACATAGTTTATTTTTTTGATATACATTTATTCTAAATCCTTTAATACCTACCACTAATACGCATAATGTACCTAGGTACTTAAAATCGTATATTAGATAAGTACGTATGTACGTCTATGGTCTAAGTTGCTATAATTTTTATTACCGATGTGATTGTGATAATCATAATTAGTTATGTATAATTAATCATATGTTTTCCAATAGGCAATAGCTATAACTGCTGTCTGCTTTACCTTTTAACTTATACTCGGATTTATACTTTAAAAAAATAATCAAAGCTCTGAATTACAAAAATTTAAATAATATAAAATGTATGAATATTATTATTAACTTAAAGTTATCAGCTTTATAATTTTAAAGTACCTATCATTATAATTAATACACAATAATATAACGCCTAATCGTTTAAAAACTATTTCTTGCATGTCATAACGCCATTACATACTTACCTGTAACACTATCATATTAACAATTTAAATTAAGATCTTGTGGAATTAATCGGTTTTTAAGAAAAGTAGGTATAAAATAAGTAAAAAGTAAAAATAGCACTACTATTTACCACGCCAAGTGTATAATTCTTAAATAAATTAATGTGTAGGTTAGGTGTATCTACAAACATAATTATGACATCCACTTGATGCGTCGTTCTCGGCGGAATCTAAAGGGAGATTGACAGTTCACCTTGTTGTATAAAGTTGAATATATTCAACTTGTAGGTATCGTGTGACAAGTATTTGTTACCTATGTATTAAACGTACGGAACACTACACAACACGACGAGGCGTGGACCCACCTTAAGTCGAAAAAAACCATATAACCAGAGGAACCGGCCATTGTTTTATAGGGTATAGGAGAAGTGTGTGAGCAATCTCTTCACTCTTATTTCTACTGGTAGGCTGTATAGGTACTTAGATTTTAAATCTGAAATTGGTTATTTTGGTACCTAATTTTGGAGATTTTAGACTATGTTAATGAAAGAATTGAGACCTGATTCATAGTGTTAAGTTTGTCGAAATTCAAATTCAGTTGGTAATTTTGAAGATTAGGTACCCCGAACAAAAATATCTCTCATACACACAGGACACAGCCGACTCAAGGTTATTTTCCAAGAATACCTGCATTTTTGTGCTTAAATAATTTATTGAAATTCTTAGTTTTGAGATTTGTATGTTATAATATTAATTATATATTGTGTAATATATTATAGGTACTCAATGGTAATACGGTTTATAGTATTTAATATTTATCAACGGTAATAGTTAAGAATTAAGGACTATAAAGCTAACTCGTGGCTCCACCAGCAAAACCTTTCAAGGCCTCTGCATACTGTATAGTGCCCGTATTTCGATTTAATCCCCCTATCAGAATGGTCAAGATTTACGATTGCTGCCCGGGCCTCTAGCTTTTTTTTTAACCAAAATACATTATGTCTCGATAAATAATTTAGCTGTATAAAATATTATGAGCACAAAAATACGAATTGATTAAAATAGTTAACTTATTAGTAACAAATCAACAAAAAACAGGGTCGTATTTAGTGATTTTTTGCTCCCGGGCACAACATTTATTGCACCCCTTTTCAACATAATATTTTTTTTTTAATATCATAGAAGTGGTGGCTAATTTTTTTTCTCTGGGGGCTATAAAATAAATTCCTTTTCTAGGTTTTCCTTTCTCATTGACAATTTAATTTGCAGTTCATTTTTAGCATTTTTAACTAGGTAACTATGAATTCCCTATTTATATTTTTTGGAAAATTATAGGTTTCCATAGTGTTCCTACGCATCACTCTAGCGTTGATCCCGTAGGTAGGTACTATAAACTACTGCTACATAGTCAAAAAGATGTACATTTTCAATTTTAGAAAATAATGCGATCGGTAAAAGTAAATTTGTTACATTCTTCCAGTTTCCAATTGGGAATTTACAAGGAAATTCGTATATCTACAAGTAATTTTTGAGTTATTTAACTTTATGTTCTAACGATAAAAGGTTCATAAGTAATAGGTTTATAAGACATGGGGGCCATGGTTATTTTACAATTTTAGTCATTGATATTACTCTATCAATATTAATAATTTGTTAAAATGGCCCAAGTATAGGTAATAATAAATAAATACTAGGTAGATTCAATTTTACGATCTTATGTTTTTGTGAAGGAAACCTTTTTAAGAACTATTAGCCTTACTATGAAGATAAAAAATAATAACTAAGAAAGTAAGAAAACAGTCCACTGTTTTGAAAATTATCCACTGAATAATTTACAGTAAAAAAGGGGATACTCATTTGAGAAAAGAAGCTTATTTTATCATCACAGGACATTCCTTAAGAAGTTAAGTAATACAAAATAACCCAACAATTTTAAAATATGGTCTGAGTATATTAAAAAATTAAAAAAATTATATTATAATATAAATATAAATATTATTAAATATAATTATTTATAATTAAAAAATTCAGAATTTGAATAAATCCATTATTGAAGGAAAAAATATGGATGAGCATGCTTGGTGAATAACTTATACATTTTTATATTTTCTTAATATCAAATTATACTGACATTTAACGTTTTATAAAAAGAATTTAAATTTTAAGTTTAAAAAAACAACAGAGGACCAAACGAAAAATCAAAATCTTAAAGTTAACATAGATGATTCATCCGTGATTCATATGGTTTACGTACATACATAGAAATTAATTGTTGTTAGAAACGTATTAAAATTAAAAACTTAATAACAACAATCCACTTTACATATTCATAGGAAACGTTCTGTTTGTGACCTATTGTCGTATTACATGTAATTAACTTAACTCATAATTTACGGTGCAAGTGACATGTCCAAATCATTGAAAACTTAATTGTGACAAGCTAAAATTAAATATATTATAATATTATATAGATATATTTAAAGACATTTTATTTGTATAGTACTATTTTTATATTTCTATACACAACAAGTTCTAAACACGTCAAAACTAATACGTTAT